GTTGTTGTTGTTGTTGTTGTTGTTGTTGTTGTTGTTGTTGATGTTGTCTTGTTTCTGTTTGCTGGCTCATAAAATGTCAGCTTTCTTTGTGGATGTCTAATGTCAGATTCATGAGATGTTTCCTTCACATTGCATGTGGTGAGTCAGCAGGTTGGATCCCTATGCCCATAATGCCTTTTTGGAGTTTGAATTTTTTTTGAAGATTTTTCATCACTTCTTTCATTTTTTCTTTTTATTACTTTACTATTTGAGAAAACAAACCCAACAACGATGCAGCCAGAAACTGGCCATAGTACCACACACACATNGCAGAATGCAAATAGGATGAAATGATGTTAGTTATTTAAAGCAATTCCACAACAGTTTTCAGCTATCTCCTCAATTTCGCACATTGACAATACGCAGTCCAGCCAAATGATAGGTTTTGACCAAGTCTTGCTTGTGTAATACATTTTTTGAAAGATTTTATGTTGTCACATGACACTGACCACTAATCAAGTAAAAAAATGCTCAGCCCAACCAGTGACCTTCAAACACAAGTTGGAGAGTCAGGAAGCTGAGGAGGGAGCCGGCGTTACTCTGCAGTGTGAGCTCTCTAAACCTGGAGTCCCAGTGGAGTGGAAGAAGGGAGCACAGGTCCTGAAGTCTGGAGAAAAATACCAGATGAAGCAGAAAGCCTCTGTGAATGAACTCCTGATCAACAAGGTGGTGCCAGAAGACAGTGGAGACTACAGCTGTGTGTGTGGAGACCAGAAGACCACAGCCAGCCTCAAGATCAATGGTAGGAAGAGGATTTTCAAATAGTCAGTTAGAGTAACATTTCTAAGAACAACTTTTTCTACATACATATTTAGACATGTTTGACATGGCTTCAGAGCTTGCAAATTATCCATGTTTGCCTTTTATGGTTGTTTGTGTACCATTCTTATATAAACATTTTAAATATTTTATTTTATGGCATGCCACTGACTGCTAACCAACTAACAAATGCTCAGCCCAACCAGTGACCTTCAAACACAAGATGGAGAGTCAGGAAGCCGAGGAGGGAGCCGGCGTTACTCTGCAGTGTGAGCTCTCTAAACCTGGAGTCCCAGTGGAGTGGAAGAAGGGAACACAGGTCCTGAAGTCTGGAGAAAAATATCAGATGAAGCAGAAAGCCTCTGTGAATGAACTCCTGATCAACAAGGTGGTGCCAGAAGACAGTGGAGACTACAGCTGTGTGTGTGGAGACCAGAAGACCACAGCCAGCCTCAAGATCAATGGTAGGAAGAGGATTTTTAAAGAGTTGGGACATGGAATTTTTTTGAAAAAACCTTATGTAATAGGTTTTTATTTGAACATATTAAGACACATTTTATAATGGAGTCTACATAACATTGTAGATTGCACCTCATCAGTGTTTGTCTTTATATTCTATGTCTGCTTTTGGCGCGACTGCAACAGCAGGGCCAGCCCTACAATCGTGAATTTCCCTGACTGACTGATTGACTCAGTGATTGAGTTGAGTGATCATAGTTCCACCATTGGTCAGCCAAATGCCACCTGACTGAGTTGGAGTTTCCCCATTGGCCGATGCACTTTCAAAATGAATTGGCAAAAACAGTTTCTATTAGGGGGGTGTTTACAGCTTACAGTTTAACAGCCTGCATTGTTGCCAATTTAGAGCATTTGTTTTTAAATTTAGAAACACGTAGCAACAAATCTAACTACTTTTTGGACAAATCTTGGCTACTTAGAACAGACTGGCTTGGACGTTAACATGTAGTCTAAATTGGTCTTGTTATAGTCACTATTTCAAACTTGTTCTGTTGTCTGACAACAGAAAGAAAAACATGTGAACGAGAAGAGCTTCATTGGAAATTCGGCTGTATTAAAACACTGTATATGTGAGCACAGAGAGTAGGAGAGAAGCAAACAGATAAAGGTCTGAAACAAGGCTGACATGAGGCAGAATGCAAATAGGCATGTGGAAATTGATACTGTGTGACTGCTTAAGTCTGGTTTAAAGCCCAATTCCACCAACAGTTTTTCAAGCCTACATCTCCTCTCAAATTTCGGCACATTGACAATACGACCAGTCCAGCAAAATGAAGGTTTGACCAAGTCTTGCTTGTGGTCTAATACATTTTTTTGAAAAGATTTTATGTTAGTCACCCATGCACACTGACCACTTAATCAAGAGTAAAAACCATGCTCAGCCAACCAGTGACCTTCAAACACAAGATGGAGAGTCAGGAAGCCGAGGAGGGAGCCGCGTTACTCTGCAGTGTTGAGCTCTCTAAACATGGAGTCCCAGTGAGTGGAAGAAGGGGAGCACAGGTCCTGAATCTTGAGAAAAATACCAGATGAAGCAGAAAGCCTCTGTGAATGAACTCCTGATCAACAAGGTGGTGCCAGAGAAGACAGTGGAGGACTACAGCTGTGTGTGTAGGAGACCAAGAGACCACAGCCTAGCCTCAGATCGAAGCGTTGTAGGACAAGAGGGAGCTATTGAAATAGTCATGTTAGTAGTAACATTTTCTAAGAACAACTTTTTTCAAGTACATCATATTTTTAGACTAGTGACTTCTCTGACATGTGCTTACAGTAGCTTGCCTAAGTATCCTACTGCGTTTGCCTGTTTATGAGTTTGTTGTGCAACTAGGCGTAAATGTTGTACTATAAACATTTTTAAATATTTATTTTGATATATGGGCATGGCCCAACTGACGCCTCCACGTGCAAAACAAATACACATGTTGCACAGCCCAACCAGGTTGACTTCAAACACAAGATGTCTGGAGATCAGGAAGCTCGGAGGAACGGAGGCCAGGCGTTACTCTTGCAGTGTGAGGTCTACTGCTAAGCCCGGGTGGAAGTCCCAGGTGGAGTGGAGAAGAGGAACACAGATGCCGTCTCTAAGTCTTGGAGGAAAAATATTCAGAGAAGCAGAAAGCCTCTGTGATATGAACTCCACTGATCAAACAAGGTTGGTGCCAGTAGACAGTGGAGACATACAGCTGTGTCTGTGGAGACCAGAAGACCACAGCCAGCCTCAAGATCAATGGTATGAGGATAAGTGATTGGAACCTCTACGATATATGTTAAGATGTTCAAATGTTATAGTTAAAAAATTATTCATTAACGTTGGGAAAACTAACTAATTTCTTCCATTTTGTCTCCATACATATTTTTGTGTGCAGTTAGTTTTGTTCAAATTTAATCACAGAGATTATTTTAAACTGTGATGTTGAATTTGATGAGAATAGTATTTGTATTTGATTATTTGATCTTTAAAGCACTGTTGTATTGAAAATTCTTGCTTTTGCTGCTTCGAAAATTTTTCACCCTTGTGTTTGGTTGGTGTGTTGTTGTTGTTGTTGTTGTTGTTGTTGTTGTTGATGTTGTCTTGTTTCTGTTTGCTGGCTCATAAAATGTCAGCTTTCTTTGTGGATGTCTAATGTCAGATTCATGAGATGTTTCCTTCACATTGCATGTGGTGAGTCAGCAGGTTGGATCCCTATGCCCATAATGCCTTTTTGGAGTTTGAATTTTTTTTGAAGATTTTTCATCACTTCTTTCATTTTTTCTTTTTATTACTTTACTATTTGAGAAAACAAACCCAACAACGATGCAGCCAGAAACTGGCCATAGTACCACACACACATACACACACACACACACACACACACACACACACACCTCACATTACACAGTTTGTCATTTTTGTTGACCTTGCTCGTTGCTCTACTTTTGTGTGTCTTATGTTATGTTCCTGTTTTTATTGGTAGTAGTGTTGACCACTAATTGGTCTTTGTGTTGTATTGTAGTTATCAGCTGTGTGTTGTGGTCCTTGCTGATTCCTCTAATTGTTGTAATATACAAATTTTGAGCTATTTTGTAAGGCGATATTTAGGTTTTAGTCATTATGGTGAAGTTCTCTAAATGATCAAGTATGTTACATTCTGAATTCAAATTGTTTTCTCTCAGCTGTGAAGCTGTCAGCTCCTCCTTCAGCTGCTGTACTGGAATCTAAAAGGCAGGAGACCAAGGGAACAATGGAAGGTACGGAGGGAAGGTGGCAATATGCTGGTTTGACTTACAGCTGTATGTGCTTTGTCCATCTTGATAATGGCCTTTGTGGTGCCATGTGCAGGCTGTTCCTAAATCGGGCCTGTACCTTGTCGCATATACACTGTGAAATAAAAGTCTTCCTGTGGCATTATTTCCTAGTTTACCAGATGTTTTAGTTTGTGGTTTGCTTTCGATGTATCAAATGTTGCTTCTGTCTGATAATGGGATTGACTTTGAATTTTCATGTCAGTCTTTTTCCACAGTGTTTTCTTTGCAATATGTGTAAAAAAAAATAGAAAGAACAAATAAGAACCCTTGTATTTGTGCCAGTTGTGCTGGTAGCATGTTGATAGTTCGAGAATGTTGTCGGCTGTTGTCGAGTTTATGTGTGCATAGTTTACTTGTGTGCGGCATGGTTCGTTGGTGTTTACATTATATTTGTGTGGTTTGAGAAGATTGAGGGTCTTTGAATTTGTGGCAGTCATACAGGCTGTGCTCAGGTGGCAATATTAAATACTGTTTGTCTGCCAATGTCCCTGGTTGTTGCCATTACACTTTATGCAGCATTTCTATGTCCATTTCATATTTTCAGCCAAGACCCCTGAAGCTTCATCCATAGCTGCTAAAGACAAGCACAACAGGCAGGAGATATATGAAACAGTAGAAGGTAATTTTGTGAAGATTATCAGCTTTGCTTCTTGATTTAGCCCATGTGCATTTGTAATTAATCAGTGTGTGCAAATGGAAGCCAAAAGTGAGAAACTGGCTGAGTCTTGGATGCTGAATGGTGTCATCAGACAGAAACTTATTGGGTCATGAACTGGCTTACATTGTGTCTTGTTGCTTTAGGGATTGTTTTGAGGCTAAATATGGTTTTATCATATCTTTATTTTTTTACCTAAAATGCAAAATTTCATCTGCCTGCTGTTAAATGTGACTTTTTTTCCTTCCGTTAAATGTCATGATCTGTGTCATTTTTGGTGCTTGTGCTGCTATTGTAGAAAAGAATATAATTTCATTCTAGAAAAATCTGTGGATTTCTTTGGTCTTTGGGTTACTGTTTGGCATGGAGGCTGACATATTGGTATGGACACATGTCTTTGTTCCCATCAGCTGCTTTTTTTAATCTTTAAGACTCATAGATTGTAAGATTTGAGTATTACATGCAGCAATGTTGTGTATTTCATAGCTGTAACTCTGCCAACCACTGGACAGACTCCTGAACAGCAGCTCCTCAAACAGGAGACTCAGAGAGATTCGCAACAGCTGAAAGTGGGAGGTGAAGGTAATGAGACACATATTTGCATGGCTTTTGTCGGATGCTGTAACATCTGTTAATACTGGAAACGTGATTGTCCTTTGTTTTATTACAGATATGATTTCAAGTTTGTAGAAAAACACACTTAAAACCATAGAACTGGAAATACAGAGAGAGCAGGCAGTTCAGTTTGGATTTACTGTCTTTGCAGATTGTTGTGTTGCCTGCTGAATGTTTGAAATGTATAAAGAAGGTGGCTTTTGTTTTCTTACTAGCTCTCATATATGTTGCTATTATGTAAATTCCATTTTGTGTGGCAAATACTGTATTTTGTCCAGTTGTTTTAATACCTTTTTTAGTGCAGGCCTGTGTTGAATGTGGAACATGTTGACATCAACATATTTATTGTAACATAAGGACATCTGTCGATATGCCAAGTTGTAAACAGACAACAGTAAACTGCAGGTCACTGGCTCTGGCTGACAGTTGTCTTCGGGTTATGGCACTCATCACTGTAAGATTGTGAGGTGAATGTCGTGTTTTATCCCAGTTAAGAAGACTGATCCTGGAATATCTGTCAAACAAGACACCCAGAAGCAGGGGACCAAAGGGCCGAAAGAAGGTATGCAAGGATTTGAACTCTTTCTTGGCTTCCTGCTTCTTCGTTGTTTCCTGCCACATCCCTCATGCTTTGTGTTGCCGAATACAGGTGTTCTTGGGCTGCGGATGCTCTCTACTTTCTATTGTGTTTTAAGCTTTTCATATGGTCGCTGTAGCTTATTTGTGTTGCTGTGAGGGGTTGGTAGTGGACAAAAATAATTTAAAATGTAAAATTAGTTTTTAAGGTTAGGTTTGCAGAATACCTCAATGTGAATATACGGAAAGATGGTATAATACTGAATTATATGGGATTGGCTGCAGCTGCTATGTCATATTTGTCCTCGCACTGCAGTTCCTTGTGTTTCCTTTTGTTAAATGTTTGTGCTTCTTGTGTTCTTTGGTGGAGGTGACACGATTGAAAGACTGAAGCAAATAAGAGATTTGTAAGCAGCTATTATTATACACAGTAGACTGTCAGCAGTAGTCCTGTTGTTCTGTGAGTCGTATAGTATATCATGGCTCTTGACGCTGAGTCTATATATTTGTGTGCTGTGTTCATAAATATTACTTCAGGCCCATTCATATGTCAGTGATTGCAGTTAGTGACGATATAATCCAGTAATTCAGCAATGGTGAGGGGTTAAGGTGGAATTGATTATGTAAGAAATATAACATGTAGTCAGCAAATGCTTACTGGGTTAATAAACTCTAGTCTTCCATGTGGTTGTTTTGGTTGCCATTTGTCACTGTGCGACTTTTGTCTGTTGTTGGAGAAAAAGCTCTTGGTCATGGCACTGTCTGGTCTTTTTACACGTGTTGCTTTATTCATTACATACTGCATGAATATTTATATAAAATTAAGCCTTTGTGGTATTTTGATGGAAATTGTTTGTGTGGCACATTGCTTCTGTTGGTGAAGATTTGCAGTTTATGTAAGTTGAATAAAAATCTACATTATTATATGTCTATAAATAACTTCAATTGCAGCAGATGCGACACCAGCTTCAGCAGTGACCTCCAAAGTTGAACCTGTGAAGCAGGAATCCAAAAAGGGAGTTGAAGGTATGTGGTAGTTTTATAAAGAAACTCCAAGAGCACATTTGTAATGAGTGTAAATGGGGTTCTATTTCTATTCAGTAGGTTTTTTTGTGTGCTGGGAATTTGCCAAAACACATGCTGTGCCGACATATGCTACACATCCAGATGGTTATGATGTGACATAACATCTTTGTGTCTTGAGGGTTTTGTCAACAGTTTGGCTCATTTGTTCTTGTTGGCTAATGAGTTGGACATTGCATATTGGCAGTCAATCAGTTGCTCCCTGTTGATTTCAGTATTGTTGGTCTTTTTGTGAGGATTAGCAATTGACCAACATTCTTTGTTGCTTTTTGTTCATCTTAAATTCCACTGCATTTGTGGTTTTCTGTGTTGATCATAGCAAATATTTAAGATCTAATTACATTAATTACACAGAGAGATACAAAAGCTTGCTGTTTCTGAAGTCATTCTACAGCCAGAGCCTATAAAGCTTGGTACCAAAGCGAAAAGGGAAAGGTTGAATTTTTGTGACACTCTATTATTTCTCCTTCCTTTAGTTGTGTTTTTCCACATGGGTTTTGTATGTTTGTATATTCTTGTCTGGCTTGTTGTTGCTCACTTCGTATTCACTTGTGTCTGACTTGTATTCAGGATGCTTGTTGTCTCCAGAGAGGAATAGTTAAGAGCTGCGTTTGACAGATTTGATAAACGCTAAGCTGGCCTCCTGTTTTGAATGAGAGCAAGGGTCATTGGCTGTGCCTCAGTGTTGTATGTATGTACATTTTAAGCAGGCATACATTTTTCTTGTTTTATTTTTTATTTTTGTTTTTACAAAACCATATAAAAAGGATTTACAGGTTCACAAAAAAACATAAGCTTGGTCAGGTAAGTTAAAAATGAACATATTTTATACACAGCATACTGTAGTCTGCATCTGGCATCCAATATGGAAGCCTGTGGGTCACAACAGGTACACATCAACACCTTGTCTAATGTATTCAATCCCCAGTTCTTCCGGTCATAGTCATTCGAGACCTAGAGAGCCAGGAGGCTGAGGAGGGAGGTAGTGTTACTCTGCAATGTGAGCTTTCTAAACCTGGACTTGCTGTCGAATGGAAGAAGGGAACTCAAGTCCTGAGTTTTGGAGAAAAGTACCAGATGAGACAAACAGGATTCAGTTATAAACTCCAGATCCACGATTTGACACCTGGAGACACAGGAAACTACTCATGCTCTTCAGAGGACACAATAAGCTCAGCCTCTCTTGCAGTAAATGGTAGGAAGGAGACCATGTCATCATCTCATATTTCTGTCTTGAAGTCTTTTCATTTCATTTGTTGATTCATTCTTTTTTATTGCACTGTATTTCTTCATCACCATTCTTGACCTTGCACTGTAGATAAAAACCTGATTATTTCTTTTCATCCATTAGCTGCCCCAGTCATATTTACAAAAGAGCTGGAAAGCCTAACGGCTAACGAGGGGGACAGTGTCACCCTGCACTGTGAGCTCTCCAAAGCTTGTGTTCCTCTGGAGTGGAGGAAAGGAGAACTTGGTCTTTGTCCTTGTGCCAAGTATGAAATTAGAGAGACAGGAAAAGTCGCCCAACTAGTAATCCATAATGTAGAACCAGAGGATTCTGGGAGTTACACATGTGACACTGGTGACCATCAAAGCACTGCACAACTAGCTGTGAAGGGTATGCCTGCTAGTGACTGTTGTTTGCAGTGAAGATACTTGAGTTGCTTGTTTTAAAGACTTGGACTATGGACTACTTCATTATTTAGGAGCCTTAGTATAGATACAAATATAAATACAAATATGCATACATCTAGTTCCTGGTATTTTAGTTAAGCTAAGTTAGACTGTCATTGACTATGATGAGAAACAGATACATTTGGGATTTGACTAGACTTTAGGATTTAAGACTAAGAGACTTGGATATGTATGACTACTACTCATTTCCACCTCTGCTATTTACTTTTGGACTTAAACGCAGTTTTATGTGTGTGGTGGGTCATAAATTGTTGTTGTCTTCGTCGTCCTAATTTCTTTCTCCTCATTTCATCCATTTCCTCCCCTGAAGCCCAGCCTGTCCTTTTCAAAACCCAGCTGCAGAACCTTGAAAGACAGGCAGGGGAGACTGCTAGTCTTCGCTGTGAGACCACAAAACCAGGAGCCAGCGTGGTCTGGAGGTGTGGTGACAGTGTGCTTGAATCCAGCAGCAGGTATCAACTGAAACAGGAAGGGACTGTAGTCGAGCTTGTCATCTACAAACTGCAGGCAGCTGACTCAGGAGAATACTCCTGTGATACTGGCAGCCAGAGGACTTCAGCTGTCCTCACTGTGCAGGGTAGGGTCTGCCTATTTAAGGCTGTCATTTTCATGCACTCTCTGGAGTCATGACTTTCTGTGCGTCCTTCAATCACTCCGTCTTGTTGATTGTCTTCTCACCGAGCAACACTTGAGTGTGAAGTGCATCATCCTTTCATCTGGAGATCCTGTTTGGGATCTTTGTGACGGCATTTAAATGTTCAAGTATAATTTCTCATCCCACATGTGTTCTTGTTTTGCCGTTCACTGTTTTCAAAAGCACTTGTAATTATTCACACACAACCCTTTTCAGTTGAGCTTGATCACTGATCTCATCATCATCTCATCATTTGTGCCTGTTTCTGTTCTCTCTTCACAAAAAATAACACACTCCACCGTTTCTCTTCACTTGGTACTACTCACAATAACAGCTTGACAGAAATCTTTATAAATTTAATCACAGTTTGATCAAAATCTTCACAATTTCAGCTGTATCTTTGTCAAGCACATTTTCATTTCATATAACAAATACGTAACTACTCTGCTGAAATGTATTTGCCAAACAGAGGTCGAGGTGAACATACTGAAATTCTTGGAGAGCTGCGTTGTGTATGAGGGTGAAGATGTCCGCTTTGAGTGTCTGGTTTCTCATGAGGAGGCACCACTGGCCCAGTGGAAACTCCAGGACGTCCCACTGCAGAATAATGAAATGAATCTAATCAAGACTGAGGGTCAAGTGCATAGCCTCACACTCAGAGGTGTCACCACAGCTGACTCAGGAACAGTCACTTTCACAGTGGGAAACAATACTTCCACTGCTTCTCTAACAGTCAGAGGTGAGGTTTCTGCTTCTAGAGTAACATTTGGACTTCTTCTGTTCATTTGTTCTCCATCATCTTTCTTATGGGACACGTACCTTCTATCTTTTCAAAATGCTCCTACAAAGCATCCCAAAACTCGGATGCTTATGATTTCCTAAAGGCTTATCTATCACTTTCTACTGACTTTTTCAACTTTCATCTCACTTTCTTGTTCATACAAAATGTGTACTTTCTACAGTAGATGCATGTTCACTCCTCCTTCCACTGAATTTGTACTAACCACATTTCAACTTTCCTTTTAAACCTTGTAATGAAATCACATATTGGTCGTGCTGATCAATATATTTCCCTTTAATTCTTGTATTCTGCGCTGTACACTTACATTCCCGTTTTTTTTTTACTCTACAAATAACTTCAAAAAACTTCTTCACTAAACTTTCTTCATTAAACTCAGATTGTTTCTTCCTTCTATTCCTTTTATTTCACCATGAAGAAACTGACAAAACCAAATGAACTTTTCAGTAACTTTCTGTGTAAGCTGAATGTTTATACTGTAGCATACCTCTTAAAATGGTAAATGTATTATTATTTTCTGATACCCTTTGACAAACACAGATTTTTTAAATTCAGTCTATTAGTGCTTCTTAAAAGATTCTGAAATGGGTCCTGTGTAGGTCACGTAGTGATTTTTAACAGTGCTGTTCATGTTCTGTTTCGAGCTTCTCCGTTGTATGGAATTATTGAAATTGTGAATATAAATAACGTGGCTTCTTAATATAATGTGTTTTCAAGTGGCCGTGATTACCTCTGAAAAATCTGAGATCTAATTAATCTAATTAATAATGGTGTTTCTAGCAGCTGCACCAGTGTTATTCAAGAAGGAGCTGGAAAGCCAAGAGGCCACCGAAGGAGGCAAAGCCACCCTGTCCTGCGAGACATCCAGCCCTGACTGCAAGGTGACCTGGCGGAAGGGCTCAACTGTGCTCACCCATGGCGAGAAGTACACCATGGAGCAGAGAGCTACCACTCACACCCTGGTTATACACAAGCTGAATGTGGAGGATAGTGGAGAATATAGCAGTGATACAGGCGACAAGAGAAGCACTGCTGCACTGACTGTGAAAGGTAACGGCACATTCATCTCATCTATTTCTTTTGTCTCCATTTATCTTCATCCTTCCTGAAGTTCATTTTACATTCACTCATCCCATTCCCAAGTACTGGATCATGTCCTCTACTCAGCTTTCTATTCTCTTGGATTTCACAGTTAATTGAGTAGTATAAGTTCAGTATCTTTGCTGGAATGAAATTTGACCTTTTTCTTTTCTTTTCTTCTTGAATTATCTTGTGTTGACTCCAACTTCTTTGCACTATAATGAGGTGGGAATCATTACATTTAAGTTTAAATATAGAGTTATTTCAATTTAATTTTAGATATTATCATTTAGTTTATCATCTAATGCTAGTGAAATCAGTTGTCATTAGAATGGCACAGGGGACAGTACTACATCTATTTTCCTGAGCTCAAACTTGAGGATTGAAGTATTAAGGAAGGATTAAAATAAGATTCTTGACGATGGATACACACTCATAGTGATGCCTTTCTGGAAGCTTTGCTGGGGTCTGATCACTGACCATCATCCCATTCGCCCTCAGAGCGTGTGCGCATCATCCGAGAACTCTGCGATATCACTGTGACCACTGGGCAGGATGCCGTCTTTGAGGTTGAGCTGTCACAGTCAGGCGTCATAAATGGGGAATGGTGGCTTGGAGACAACCTTCTCCAGAATAATGACCTGAATCAAATGAGCAGCCAGGGCAGAGTGCACCGTTTGGTCCTGAAGATGGTCACCACAGATGAATCAGGAGACGTTGCCTTTGTAGTGGGAGAAGAGAAGAGTGTTGTGTGTCTGCTGGTGGAGGAGAAACCCAAAGGTAAAGGGGAAGACATGGTTACTTCAGATTTTCAATCCTCACATCCATCTCCATCGACCATTGGCAAATGGAAATCTGCTTGCACCATCATTTTCAACATCCTAACTTTTAGACATGTCTTCTATTCTTTGCATTTATTTTATAGGGTGTGCTACAAAAAGAAACGCTATCAAAATACTAACAAATATCATAACTAAAGCATATAACTTAATTCTGTCAGTTAGTTCATTAAAGATAGAAAGTTTTCAGAGCTAAACTTCAATGTTTGTTTTATAGCTATAGTTTTTTTATGACACTAGATCTACCTCTGATCATATGTTCAGATCATACTTCGTTATGCTGTAAAATGTGTGACAGCATGCAGTAATTAGTGCATGCATTTATGTATTTATGTACATAGTTTTAAAATGATTTATGCCAGGGCTGTAAAGAAAGGGGAAAGACTGCATATAAATGTCACTGTTATTAAATCTAGTCTCGGGTTTTCCATATTTACAGTGCTAATATTAGAGAAGCCACAAAACACTGTGGCGTTAGAAGATGAAACTGTATCGCTGGCCTGCACCATCTCTGACCCCAAGGCCACTGTCACCTGGATCAGAAACAACGTGGCCATCCAAGCAGGTGTCAAGTATGACCTGAGGAAGAATGGAGCATTCCAGGAGCTTCGTATCTACAATGTGGTGCCTGAGGACTCAGGAACGTACACCTGTGACACTGGAGATGCACAGTGTGACGTCACCTTGACTGTGGAAGGTAAAGAATGATGCCTCTTCTAAAACAAAAAAAAGTCTTTTTCCATTTGATCAAATTGAAGACTGGACCAAAATAGGATTGAAATGAACAACTGAAATATTCTTGAACCTCGACTTCGCTCAACCACACACCTAGTCTGGCATCACTGTGCATCAGCAAATCTTTTGACTAAAGTCCCTCAGAGATGTTTGTCATCTCAACTATCTGATGCCAAACTTGTCATCTCAACATCTGATGCAAAATTTTCCCATTTTAAATTCTCACCAGGTGCTCCAGTGTTCTTCCAGAAAGAGCTAAAGAACCAAGACGCAATAGAGGGTGATGATATCACCCTGTGCTGTGAGCTGTCTAAGCCAAGTGTTCGTGTTGAGTGGAGGAAAGGAGGCATGGTCCTCCAGGCCGGTAAGAAGTATGAGATGAGGCAGGAAAGGTGCATTCAAGAGCTGTGTATACGGAACCTGGAGCCTGAGGACAGTGGCTACTACACCTGTGACGCAGGAGACCAGCTCACTACAGCTTCTTTGGCAGTGCAAGGTAGCCTCCTTTCAGTACTGTTGCGTTTGTCCTGGATTGTACATTTTCTGTCTTTTGTTATGATGTCATGTTGCTTTGTCATTTAAGTGAGCATACTGCAAACATTGAGTAAGTTTTAGGCTCAGTGTATGCATATTTGTATTTTTCACTCAACAGTGAAAGAAGTCTTCATTGTTTCTGGTCTTAAGACCATCGACGTCTTTGTTGGGGAATGGGCAACCTTCTCCTGTCAGCTGTCTGGTAGGACACCTGGCAAGGTGCAGTGGTGGCTGGATGGTACCTTGCTGGAGAACAGCCCTTTTAGTGAGATAGGGCTGAGCCAGAGCCACATCTACACACTCACCTTAAAGAACCTGGCTACAGATGACTCTGGCACTGTCACGTTCAAAGCTGGAAGTTTAACATCAACTGCCAAGCTCTTAGTCAAAGGTATCATGTTACAACGATAACCACTAGAGACTGTGATAAGCTGTATCTCAGTCTTATTTTAGACCCTGCAGCATTTTACATCTACATTTAAAATCTTACAGACCCAGTATTAAATCTAAGGATGTGCTGTTGTCACTAAACCGTACAATTAAGAGATTGACAACATTTATCATAATTTTTAATAGGCATTGTAGGCTAAAATTTTCAGTTTTCTACTTAATGATTAGCATCAACCCAATAAACAAGAGGAATAAAGAGTTATTCCTCTTGAAAAATATGAGTGAATATACCATGGATTAGTATTGTTTTCTGCAGGGTTGCATAAAAAGTTTGAAGTTCATGAATAGAGTAATAATTGACATTTGACATTTCAGTGCTTCATCATGCATGAGCAGCATTGTTTTTCACTTAATAATTATAATAATGATGATGAAAGTAGCAGTAGAGAGTTCCTTGCCTTATGCTTTCATACAACCAAAACATACAACTGGGTGCAGCACCACAGCAAAGTTTTGTTAGACTAGAGCAGAGTAGCATCTAAACCAAAACACTTAAAACTTTTTGGCTAAATGTGCCAGTGATCAGAAATGATTAGCCATTCATTTTGAAGGAGCTATTTGTAAATTTGGTTATTGCCAACATTAGCGGTTAGCAGTAACTAGCTGTAACAAGCTGTTTACTTAGGAGGAAACGTTGCAAGTTCATAATCAAACTTCATTCCTTTGCTCGCTAAGAGCTGTCTCAAGCATTGGAAAGCAATCCTCTTGTTTTGCTTCTGTTTCTATCACTTCATTTCTTCTGCTGAAGTTGCTAACCAGCTAGCTTCAGCCCAGTTCACCGTAATGTCCAGTCTGCCCTGAAGAAGTAGTGTTGCTCAGAGGATTGTATTATAACCTCATGTCATGTAAACACAATGATGGTTGAGGCTTTTGGTAAGACTGGTAAGTAAACAGCTGTTAAAGCTAACATTGGCTGTGTAGCAATACCAAAACTTTACAAATAGCTCCTATAACAGAAATCTGTTATTTAGAGTCCTGGCAACCTGCTGTATTTTGGGCTGCTGAAATGATAATATGATAATCACGATTATGTTTCTCTTTTCTGAGATCACAATCATTTACTGTTGCATCATAACACTTGCTTCTGTTTTACAAATCTTCAAAATAAGGAGACATGAAATCAAATGTTCTTAAAAAATTAATTAACCCTGTCTTTTGACTTGTGTCTTGACATTGCCCGTCAATGTTATTTAGTGGTTTTACCAACAAATGTAGCCTTAAAATATACAATATAAACCACCCACTCAAGAATCATTCCTGCACTTTTGTATGTGACAAAATTCAAATGCAAAAATGGATGTAATGTCTCTGCAAAATGGCCACAATTAGCAACTCTGAGAACAAAAAGTAAGTATACTGTTACATTGCTGGCTATAACACATTTGGTTACATAAAGCGCTACTCAGTAGTCAACTTGTCATGTGTCTGGTGTTAGTTGTTTCTTTATATTGGTCACATTCATCAGGCAGAACTCTCTCTGAGCTTTGTCCACAACAGAACTGATGAACACAATTGGTCCACGGTGAAGCTCTGCACTACAACTCACATGGCTCACCTGATGAGCTTTGTTGACTTCATTCGTCTAGACTTTATTGTTCCCACCAGCACTTACCCTGACAACTTGGTCAGTCTTTATTGTCCACGCTAGCATTCCTGGTGACTAAAGTGGGTTTTGCCATTGGTCCACTGATGTCCAATGTTTCATGGTGCTGCCCCAACATCTTGCTGCTGTTTCTTCGTTTGACTCATATAAATGGCCCCTTATGTTTTAGGCCAGATTGAAGCTTTGTTTATGCTTTGCTCATCTCAGTGAATACTACTCAGTGTTCTGACTGCTATTGAAGGTGTAGCCAAACAACTGTTATATAGATCTTATAATACTCTTGCCTGCCTCAACATCTGTCTTTGGGAAACAGAGACCATTTAATAGAAGAATGCTGGAAATTAGATTCTGCAATTTGGGATTACTTGACTTGTTGTTCTAAGTCAGTCACTCTCAAAGTGTCAAAAGCCAAAAGCATGATCGTGATTATTATATAGTAAACTGTGCGGCCCTAACTGAATCTCTTGGCAATGTAAATAGTGAGCGATTCTTATTTGCTGATTGGAATCAGTGAATAACATACAGTAGGCTTAGTTTTGGTGATCCAATTTTAATTGTACAGAGTTAGTGAACCACTGAATAATGACAACAGAAATCTTGTGTTCGTAAAGTGCTGCTCCACCCATCCATGCAGGCCTGCTGCTGTATACTCATGTTCCACCTCTACCGTTCCATCCCACCAAGCCCTGTCCCTAACCTTCAAGCACTAAAGCTCCTAACCCCCATACACCAACCTTATGAGTTTGACATTTCTATCCACTTATCATATCATACCCTTCCCTCCCATTACCTGCCGGCTCTTCTTGTGCCCATTACCCAGAACCTTGACGATTGGGCTTTTTGACCCCCTAGATGCTGACATAGGACAATAAAGTGGTCACAGTTGGCATTAAAATATACATTAGTATACTGTACCACAGCACATACAATTTTTATTGGACAAATTCCATAAAAAACATAATGTCACTTACATATGAATTACCTCAATAAGCTTTTGGGGGTTATAAAGCCCATATGTCATTCGGCATGTCCTGCATATATCCTTATATCTCATGGTCAAGGCCTGACCCTATGACCCCTGACCCCATCCTCAGATCCCACAGTTGAAGTGGTGAGCGAGATGGAGGACCTTCGGGTGGTCGAAAACCAACCGGCTGAGTTCATCTGCCAGTACTCAAGGCCAGTCAAGGCTCAGTGGAAGAAAGACGGGCAGCCATTGCAGCCTGATGGTCGAAGGGTGGTAGTGGAGCAGGACTGGAATGTGGCTCGGTTGTACATTAGCTGTGTGTCCGCTGAGGACAGGGGCACATACTCCTGTGAGGCACAGGGGACCTGTGTGGTTGCTTCACTTCATGTGGAAGGTGAGCTTCCCTCCACATGGAAAGACCACCAACCTTTAGAGAATCTCCTCTACTCCCTCAAACCTAACAATTGTTTGGCCAAATAAAATGATCTTTTGCTGATCATCACAAAGTTTGTGCCATTTGTGGGCAAAATCCCATATGATTTGAGAGTCTAAATACTGGAGTCATCTTAAAATCTTTTTTGAGTGTGTTCTCTTTCTTTCTTCATTTTCCTTCTGTCTTCTACAGGCAAGCCCATTAACATTGTTCAGGGCCTGGAGAATATGGAAACCTTTGATGGAGGTGAAGCACTGTTTGAGTGTGCCCTCTCTCGTCCTGAGAACAAAGATTGCAGCTGGCTTCTTGATGGCAAACCAGTGAAGGACTCTCCTAATGCTGAGATTGTTTCATTTGAGAGTGGTCTTCGTCATCTGCTCCTGCTGAAAGAGTTGCGTGTTAAAGACAGTTGCACAGTGACCTTCAAAGCTGGCACAGCATCCTCATCTGCCCAACTCTCTGTCAAGGGTAAGTCACCCACATGAATGCTTTAAGACTTTGAAGTTATATTTACACCAACATCTTGTCTGAATCTCATAACTGTAACTGACATCCTTTTACATTTAATTCTGTATTTCTCTCATAAGGATGGCAGCTGGATGTTGTGAAGGGTCTGGAAGACAAAGTGGCTGCAGTGGGAGAGAAGGTTGAGTTTTGTGTTCAGCTGACTGAGCCTGTCCCTGTGACAGAAATAGCTTGGTATGCTAATGGAGTTGAGCTCAAGCCCAGCGATCTCTGGGCTATGCGGGCTGATGGCTGTTCTTATCGCCTCGTCCTGAGACAGGCACCACTTTTGCCCCAACAGGAAATTACATTTGCTGCTAGAGATGCTCTCTCTTTGGCCAAGCTCTCCATCATCAGTAAGTATCTGATAACCAGCACTGCTAAGAGGCAGTGCTATGGTGAACAATTGTTTGAAGACTTTTGTAACCTTTCATTATTGCAATGGGTTTAATCTTTTAGTTTTTGCATCTTAGTATTATCGAAATCTTTTGAATTTTTGGAAGATTAACAATGTTTATTTTGTAGTTTTTTCTCAGTGTGCATAAGAGCTGCTTTTATTCCCAACAGCTGTACCTGATCCCCCAGAGGACGCAGAGGTCCTCAGTAAGACGGAACAGTCAGTTTCCCTTTCATGGTTCACTCCACTACATGATGGAGGGAGTCCCATTCTGGGCTACAGGGTGGAGATGCGGCTGGTAGACAGTGCCCTCTGGCTTCCATGTCATTCTGAACCTGTGTGTAACACAGAGTTTGTGGTTGAAAATCTTACCCCAGGGGGCGGCTACAGGTTTAGAGTGGCAGCCATCAACAGAGCAGGGACTGGAGAGCCTGTTGAGCTGCCTCAGACTCTACAGCTTGGTGAGTGGACATGTGGTTCAGTTCATGAAATAATAACATTTCTAATGTCAAAGGTGTTTGCCAGGACATTTTGATTATTATTGTTCAGTTAACTACTAGTTTTTTATATTAGATGGAGAAATCAAAAAACTTCCACAAAGTAAGAGTATCTGTTTGGTTTTGTAGTACATAGTTGTGCTATTATTTAGCTTGGATTATAACATTTATTTTGGTGTGACATATGGACAGCTTTATAAATTCTACCAAATGGTATGGTTATAGCAGTGTAGAGAATTTAAAAGTCCTCCAAGCTACTATATTATGTGTGTTTGTTTTCTCTATGTTACACAGAGGCACCTGTGCAGTCACTAATTTGCCAAGGTAAGACATTGTGTTTGGTGTGTAGGTTTTTTATATTTATCCTACAAGTTCTACTGTAGTTAAACACCTTGTCACACTTATCCCTCTCAAACAACATCTGAAGCCTAATAGACAAATGTCTATCATACTAAGTTGGAAGAAGTAGAGTTTTAATAGGTCTATCACCAGTAAAAGGTAGTGTGCTGTGTGGATACTGACATAACATTATAAAACATTTATCAAAGTAACAATGAAACCTGCATTTTGGATGTAGGTACAGAGGCAAAACAGGGGGAGGAACTGGGGCAGCCCAGTCTGCCTCCAGAAGCTGCTGATGAAGGTGATGTTCATGAACTCTGGGAGGCTTCAGCTAAGAAACGGCGCATGAGTCGAGAGCCAACTCTGGACTCCATCACTGAACAACCTGAGGAGGATGGTAAAAACAAATCAAGAGAGAAGGAGCTGAAGTCCTCAGAGAAAGCAGAAATAAAATCAGAAGAGAAGGAGCAGGCCATTGTGTCTAAGAAGCAGACCAATTTGTGCATCAGCTCTGAGGACGAATCTGTTTCTGGGGGTCAGACGCTTGTGTCCTACCTCAAGAAGAGCAGTAAATCTACCGTCACAGAGGCCAGTGAAACGGAGACCCTATCCACTGAGAGGTTCTTCGCACATTTCCAGATGACAGAGCAGAAAACAGTGCAGCAAACTGAAGTGAAAACAACCACAACTCAGGAGACAGATAAAACACAGGTGTCTACAGAGGAGACTGACATAGTGGAGATCAGTAAAGAAGATGAGCCTGAGCTCCGAGATGCTGCAATTAAGATTCAAGCTGCATTCAAGGGCTACAAGGCCCGCAAGGACATGCGTCCTGTCTTCAAAGATGTCTTCAAAGACCAGACCAAAGAACCTAATGGCACCATACATCTGGAATGTGTGGCAGAAGGGAAACCTGATAAGGTGCGTTGGCTGAAGGATGGAGAACCACTGACAGATGGCAAGCACCACCATATCGATATCTACAATGATGGTACTTGCTCACTGGTCATCACCGCCATCACCACAAAGGATACCGGGGTTTACACTTGTGAGGTCACCAACAAGTTTGGAGTTACTTCTCACAGTGGTAAGGTGACAGTAGGAACAGTGAGAGAATCATCTGGGCGACGGCCCCTGACGGTGGGCTACAGTGCAGACAGTGAGCCCGAGAGCTCCTCAGGTAGTGAGATGGATGAGTCACTGAGGATGGCAAGCAGACGTCTCCGGCGCCTGTTGCGCACACGTCTCCCACCAGATGTTGCGGAAGAACCATTCGTCAGCGCAGATGAAGGAGACCTGCCCCCCCCAGATCCTCACTCTTATCGTGAGGATGACAGTTACATCTACATTCGCTTTGAGTCACGGACAGAGGCTGAAGTTGCCTCTAAGAGGTTCCAGGAGATGTTTACAATTCATGGCGTTCCTGTAGAGACTGCCATCCTTGAGGCAGGGCTTCACAAAGTTGAGCTGCGAATTAGAAAGATGGGCTACATACAGGATGGCACACAGACCCCCACACAAGATAGACAGCCTCCTGCATTCATGACGGGAGCCCCAGGTAAGAAACACATTAGAGTGGTTCTTCTGCACTCTTATGATCATTATCCAATTTTTTATGTATTCTCTAAATCATCAATAAATAGCCTTCTAAATAACCAGTATCATTTAGCTGTCTGTCCTGTAACATGTTATTTGTCTGCTTGATTGTTTTTGACAATTATATCTACAGTTTAGCGTGGATTGACACTTTATGTGACCATTTAATTTATTTTTTTTTAACTTTCAATTTGCTCTTGTTACCCAGCTGCCCCAGTCTTCTTGACAGAGCTGCAGAGCCAGGACGTTCCAGATGGCTATCCAGTCAGCTTTGACTGTGTTGTGATTGGCAAGCCCCCTCCAACTGTTCGCTGGTTTAAGGATGGCAAATTGCTGGAGGAGAATGACCATTACATGATCAATGAAGACCTGGAGGGCTGCCACCAACTGATCATTACCACCGTGCTGCCCACTGACATGGGTGTCTATCGCTGCACAGCTGAAAACAGCAGCGGCATCGCAGCCACGAAGGCTGAACTCAGGGTTGACAGTAAGTGAACATACATTACATGCACAAAAACACATGTATGTTTTACAAACGAATAAGTACTCGACTACATCTTTTCTGAGTGAAGGTAAACCCAAAAAGATGGTGGCATTGTCAACAAGAGCGTTTCAGTCACTATTTCATACCTGTTCCATTGTCTGACAGCAGACACAGAGAAACATGAAAATGAGAACAGCTTTATTGGAATTTCGGCTGTATTGAAATACTCTATGTGAGCACAGAGAGTAGGAGAGTAGCAAACAGCTAAATGAATACAACGAATACAGCAGTTTCACAACAGTTTTCAACTAGATAGATAGAAACTAGAAACAAATCTTAAACTAGTCCAAAATTCTACTTTGTAAAAACACCCTCAAATTAACAGACCAAAACTCAAACTTGTTCTCAGTAAGATAACAATCACATATACACAATGGCAAACACATTGTCCCTGATCATTGCTGTACATCAATCCTTTCCATCAGTGTCTTGCAGCTCAGATTATGACACTGCTGCTGATGCTACTGAGACATCTTCCTATGTCAGTGCCAAGGGCTACATGTCCAGGTAAATATACTATAAACTGTTCTAATGGTTTCAAAAGAGATGTATAGATAAATGTATTTTATAATTTTAATAAATACTGAGTTCTTGAGGTGAACTATTCTACTTTTCTGGTGCAGGGAAACTGAGACCTTTGAGTCTGTGGCTGAAGATGATCAGCTACCACAAGTTGTGGAGGAGCTTCATGATGTTCATGTTAGTCCAGGTTCCCCTATTGCTAAAATGCAAGTCAGAGTAAAGGGTAAGTTTATTAACGGATATTAATAATCAATTCATCTAAGGCAAGCAAATAACAACTGATTGTGGTCTTATATAGTCAACTTACACAAAATTGCCTTTGATCAAATAGTAATATTTCTGAAATATCTACTGTCTTCCAGGCTTCCCCAAACCCAGAGTATACTGGTTCAAAGACGGCCACCCTCTGCGGCCCTCGGAAAGGATTCTGTTACTAACCGAGAGAGATGTTCACGGCTTGGAGATTCTGGGGGTGAAGAAAGACGATATGGGAGAGTACTCTGCTTACATCAGCAATGCAGCTGGGTCTGCTTACTCCTCTGCCCGACTGATAGTTCTGCGTATGTATGCAAATACCTGAAAGGCTGACTATGCAAAAAGAGCATGACATACTGTATTCCATATTACTCTATTTTGTAAATTACTTTGAGCTTAAGAACTATCATTGAGATGTTTACAGACACAGTAACAATTGTATTTTGCAACAGGCCCAGGGGAGATTCTGCCACAAGATAAGAAAGGTAATTTAACATTTATCCTACACACATGGTACGGGTACATTAGTATATATAATGATATATTATATGTGACTGTGCTTTTGTTTTACACTATATGTTCACAGACCCCAAGGAACCCCTTGTGCCACCACGCTTCCTTGAAAGGTTCAGCAACAGGAAGGTGAAACAAGGAGCAAGCATCACTCTATCGGTCAAAGTAGAAGGTTTGTTCATTTCACTGTTTCATCTTAACATGATCATATCCCAGTTATGTCCTCAAGATTTTCATAAGTTCCCATGTTATCTGTCATCCAGCATGTATTCGAAATTCTCCATACCCACCTTTACTTTTTTAGGGTCCCCCACTCCTATGGTCTCCTGGCTAAAGGAGGAATCACTGGAAGATGTCCTGTGGATCAAACCTGATACCAAGGGATACAAAATAGCAAGCTCTGGACGCCAGCACAGCCTCATCTTGATGGATGTGGGCACAGAGTACACTGGTGCCTACACCTGTATTGCTACAAATAGAGCAGGACAGTCCATCTGCACTGCCCACCTCGAGGTGGATGACAGTAAGGAAAACAAAGATGTCTTCGAACTTTATATAGAAATTATATTGACCATGAGAATATCCTTAAAACTAGAAGACCATTATTGTAGTGCAAACCTTCTACTGCCTGATTTGATTGTAATTGTATGTGTTTCTCTCTCCTAGCACCACAACCAAAGAAAGAGACCAAACCTTTAGAGTAAGTTTTTCTTTGAGATTCAGAATGAGATTGCACATAAAAAGGACATGTACAGTATATACAGTACATTTCAAGTAAATGCAAATATCTGAAAATAAAATTTACCATTAAATTCTCCTCAGGGTTCTTGGGATTACAGTTAGTCCTCCAGAGGATGAGACTAGCACTGGAAAAGGTGAGATTTATAGTGATATAGATTATTTGTAATAATTAATATTACAATATTTATGGTGTTCATTCCTCTTTGCTGTCCACTTGCCCTCTGTTCTGCATCACAAGAGGGTAAAATACCCTATCTAGGTGAAGTAGGTACAGAGGAATTCCTCATGAAACTCACCTCCCAGATCACTGAAATGGTATCAGCAAAGATCACCCAGGGTAAGTCTGTTATAGACCATTTTGTCTATGCAATAAAACATTCGACTGCTAGATTTTAATTTGATAGAAATTGATGTCACAGTTTACACCACAAGAGAAATACTGAGCAATGTTACAGTATGTTCAGGGTATGGTCCAGGGTCCAGTATGTCCATACAGATAGACATATCATGAAAAGCCTGATTTAAGTATTATAACTAACATAATCAGGCTACTTCAAGCATGGTTTAAACCAAGATTAAATAATGGTTTTATTAACATTTTACCTCATTTTACTGCAGCTATGTTGTCATAGTAGTAGTAGAAAACTCATTTAGCTTAGAACATGAACACAGGGAGATGTTTCAGCATACGAGGTTAGCTAGGAAGCTAGCTATATGTGGGACTTTGGCTGTGTGTAAGTGGTAAACACTCAACCTGCATGTTACCCTAATGATAAAAAAGGGGTTGAAAGATTGTTTTATTAAGTGTGAAATGATTAATTCAATTCTATTGTCATCATACATGCAGCGAGCAAGCAGACCAGATAACATACTGTAGGTCAGAGATAGGCAACCAAGGCTCTAGACTCGCAAAAGTATAAAGGTTTTATTCCAACCAAACACCGTACCAGGTGATTTCAGTGTGAAGATGCATTCACCCAGAGGGAGCCTCTCTTAAATCTTAAATCACCTGGTTTTATCTGGGGTTGGAATAAAAATCTGCGGGTTGCCTATCCATTTGCTAAATTATCCTGAGTAGTAATTTCCTGATATTGCATATGAAAAGCTACCATGAATGGCTTTGCTAATGCTAAAGATGCAGTTCATAAATAATCCACATATTCTTTTATTATTTTGTTACATGTCTGTCAGGTTTGATTGAATTCAGTGAATTCATTCTGATTATTCAAGAATTGGGAAAGTGCTGTTTAATCTGAATGTTTTAACACTTCAATTCTTGAATTAGAATTCACTTTCCAGTAGATTTGGGGTTGACACCAAACTTGACAGACACGTTTTCCTGCTTTTCTAGTGCTTGTTTTTCAGCATGTTTTGCTTTACTCATGTGTAGGTGACTTAAAACCTCTCATCGATTCATACAGACATCATTCCTTCACAACTTTCCCATCCATCAGTTTATCAATCCAACCAATTAAATGCTCATTCAATCATTAATTTGTTATTCAGACAGCGCACAGAATCACGACGTGCTCCAGTGGATGAAAACTTGGCCCAAAACTACCAGTATGTATCCCAAGTGCATCAGCTTCATAATAACTATACATTTTTCTACAAGGAACATGACTTAATGAGATACTTTAGAATTGGGTCGCAAAGGACATGACTTGTTTTACAGTTTTTACTTACATTTATTATATACATACAGGAAGACACAGGTTGTGAATTAAGCTGCAATTAAACAGTTCACCCGTTTCCCGAAAGTGCCTTTTCCATTTCATGCTGTCTGTGCACCTTAACGCCTCCTCATGCATCTTCACTATACTTTTCTTGTCTTTTCAAACTGGTTTCCCACCGACTAGTAGCTTGAATACATGTTTACAGACATGTATGTGGAGAGCTCAGACAATAGTTTTTATCTGTGCTGTAGTTTTCTCTTGAATGTTGTCACAAAACTAACAGAGTCAATATCAAATTAGTGGTCAGTAACAAAGTATTTTTGAGTGACTTGATTATTGTTGTGGAATTTTTGCACTACTTTCCTTCGACAATATATTTATTTGTTTTGAACCAAAGCCTAAAATGATAAAATGAATCAACGACTTGACTGGTCCTGCCTCAGCTGAGCTTTGACAAACTGAGTGGTGTGGTTACTAATAACTGCTACATAAATTCAAAATGTAATGGTAGATGACAGTGACAAACTAAGTTTAAAAAAATAGATTATATTTATGATACATGCTCAAGTTGTTTGCACAATTGACCTGTGTTCATCTGATTGCCTCCGTCCATCCTTGCTGCCCCAGCTTCATTACGCGTACCTGGTGTTGACAGTGATGATGAGACCAAGACTCCTTCTCCATCACCTCATCACGGTCGCTCTCGTCCTCCTTCCCTCATTGCTGACTCCTCCTCGGAGTCTGATGAGGGGGATGCCAGGGGAGAGGTGAGATATCGAAATCATCCGTGTACTATGAAGTGGACAAGAATGTGGACCTTAACTTGTTTATAGTATATGAGGAAATCACCCTAAAACTGGGTAATATATAGATTGTGTGACTAGAGAGACCAGAAAAATAGAGACACCTCTACAGTAGTTTTTTTTATTTGACTCAGTTCTATGATACATTATTAGACTGCACTTGATGGTGATATTGTATTTTCCATTTGGAAAAAATGGGTGAAAAAATATTAGAAACAACTTACAAAACAAGGACACCACAAACTATAGCCTCAACATTAATTTAAGAGAGAATCAAACCATCTCTAGAAGAGAATATTTCCTGAAATGAAACATTTGTTCTCTCTCTGGATAAATAAAGGTTAGAAAATAGTGATACTTAACAATTTTAAAATTTAACCTGCAACAATCTGAAATGAGTTAACTCACACCTTCTGCATAGTATGTAGTCGCTGATCTCTTTATATAACCACTGGACATAAACAGATCTAATAAAGTATTCATATACAATTCAAAAATTTGCTTGGGAAATCTTGCCAAGTGGAGGTTTCTCCAACAGGAAAATATGAATAGCAGTAGAACCAATATATATGTGCAAGAATAAGATGAATTACAGCATATTAGGTTTATATAATGTTATCACAACATATTGTGAAACCTTGTGTGTTGTAATTAATATACATTTTTACAGATGTTTGACATCTATGTGGCAACGGCTGACTACAACCCCACTGTGGCAAGCAAAGAATCTATCTCTCTGAAGGAAGGACAGTATGTTGAGGTTTTGGACTCAGCCCATCCACTCAAATGGTTAGTCCGGACCAAACCGACCAAAACCACACCATCCCGCCAAGGCTGGGTCTCACCTGCCTACTTGGACAAGAAACTCAAAGTATGTCTCAAGAATTCAGCCACTGATCCAACAACATAACAACTTTTTATATTCGTATTAATTAATTGTTGTGAGGCCTTTGAACATTTTAAAGCTAATAATAAAAATGTGTGTTATTTCAGCTCTCAGCTGAAACGGGTGACCTTCCAGAGGCAAGTGTAGAGGAGGTGTCAGAGGGTGAATACAAGAGGAAATTATTGTAAGTACAGCATATCTACATTCACAAAGCAAATCCTGGAATCAAAGGAAGCGCCATAACCAACGATTTTTTTCATGTCCCCAGCCAAATGTTACAGGACCTGATAAATGGTGAATCAGAGTTTGTAAAGGAGATAGACTTCTTTACCTCCCATCACCTGAAGCATGCAGACAGCTCTGATGTGCCGCCTGATGTCAGCACCCAAAAGGAAACCATTTTCAGGAACATTGATGACATCAAGTCCTTCCATAGCAAGTGAGCTCACCTTCTGATTACTTACAATTTTAGTCAGCTATTTTAAAAGCAAGGTAAAGAACATGAATGTTCTCCACCCAGATCATATGGCATTCTCTTCTCTGAAAAATATAATGAAAGACAGTGAGATTTTGTTTTATCATCAGTACATTCATTTTCTTTCAATTTTTTTTTTTTTTTTAGGGCATTCCTCCCGAAGCTGAACGACTGCGACACAGATGATGATGTAGCCATGTGCTTCCTGAAGAACAAGGAGGGCTTTGAGAAGTACCTGCAGTATCTTGTTGGTCAAAGTCAGGCAGAATCTGCTGTCAGTGACAAGACTGTCCACCACTTCTTCAAGGTAACAAAACACTGCTCATGTCATGCCAGAGCCATATGCTCTACTGTGGATTATGCAGTCTGCCTAAAACCATTTAATTGTCTAATCCTAAATTTACCACACTTGAAAAAAATATTTTTGGGTGTAAGAATTTGCAGATTATTTGTTTTTTCCAGTTTATTTAAAGCTGAAATTCTTTGGTAAATTACTTGTATCTCTCTCTCAAATTAAATCGAAGGCAACTGGACTTGTATTTGTCTGTGGAAGACGTTTCGCCTCTTATCCAAGCGGCTTCATCAGTTCATCATGTATTGGTCTCTCTAGTCCGCACTAGTCTGACACAGACTAGGTCACACTAGTGCGGACTAGAGAGACCAATACATGATGAACTGATGAAGCCGCTTGGATAAGAGGCGAAACGTCTTCCACAGACAAATACAAGTCCAGTTGCCTTCGATTTAATTTGAGAGAGAGATAACTATGACCTGGACGAATGAGAACATTCACAGATAAATTACTTGTAAAGTGTACTACATATAAATACCCAATCATTGGGGTGACCAATTGTGCACCAGTAAAATTATTTACATTTTTATTAATTAAAGTTTTCCTTTCATTACATTGTAGGAGTACACTGAGAAAGCACAGGCTAGTGCAGACCCTGCTGATCCCCCTGTACGCAGCATCAATGCCTACCTCCAACAACCACTGGACAGGATTCAGAAGTACAAGGCTTTCCTCAAGGTGACGTATTCACCAGTCACAGAATATGCAGTAGTCTTGTTAGGATATATCACCTGCATGTGTAAGGCATTTGCTTTTAGACCTGTATCATTATCACCTCAGTTGTGTTCAAGTTTCTGCTCTAACATCTTCAGGAGCTCATTCGAAACAAGGCGAGAAATGGTCAGAACTGCTGCCTCCTGGAAGAAGCTTATGCTATGGTGTCTGCGCTCCCTCAACGCTCTGAGAATACTCACCATGTCTCCATGATCGAGAACTATCCTGCCACACTGGAAGTACTCGGAGAGCCAATTAGACAGGTAGGATATCGTTACTAACTGATGAATTTACTGAGTAGAGGTCGATTTTGTGTTTGACAGTCTATATAGATTGGAGTGAAAAGTCTGACACCACTCCACTGGGTTGTTATTTTACAGGGACCTTTCCAAGTGTGGGAAGGAGCTCCTGGAATAAGGACGTCCTCTAGAGGTCACCACCGCCACGTCTTCCTCTTTAAGAACTACTGCATAATCTGCAAACCTAAGAGAGACAGCAACACTGATACACAAACATATGTCTTTAAGAGCATGATGAAGGTAAGACTTTTAATATAATCACACCTTTTTATTTAAAAAAAAAGAAAAGGTCCTCATCTTTCCTGTTCAACAGCCTAAATGATGCTCTTTGTCTTGTTGCAGCTGAATAACATTGATGTGAACGAGACAGTTGAGGGTGATGACCGTGCCTTTGAAATCTGGCATGAACGTGAGGACTCTGTGAGGAAATACACCTTACAGGCCCGAACCATCACCATCAAGAACTCATGGTTGAGAGATTTCAGAGAACTGCAGCAGCGATATGTCACGCCTGCATGGAGTGAGTGGGACACACACACACACACACACACACACATATATAATAGAGTTTTTTCTGTATCTGAATCTCTCATTTGTCACTTTCAAACATTGCCTTTTATGATTAATCTGTTTTATAGGTCCCCCTGACTTTGAGGAAATTCTGGCAAACTGCACAGCAGAGCTGGGACAGACTGTTAAGCTGGCCTGCAAAGTCACTGGAGTCCCCAAACCTGTGGTCACGTGGTACAAGGGTATGAAATTTGCACCAAGTATTTTAGTCATTTGCTCTACTGGACAATATATAGAGGAATGGAGACTAATGGTTCATACCCTTAATCTCTGAGTGCCAGGCAGTTTGGCCAAATGTGTGTCATTAATGCACTGTTTTACATGCTGGACACAGATGGACGTACAGTGGAGGCAGATCCTCATCACATCATCATCGAGGACCCTGATGGTTCCTGCACGCTGATCCTGGACAACATGACAGCAGATGATTCTGGCCAGTACATGTGCTTTGCCACAAGCTCAGCTGGCAATGCCAGCACTCTTGGAAAGATCACAGTTCAGGGTAAATGGCATAAAGTCTGATTGTGTCCTAACATACCAGATGTTTTCATTCATAACTATAATGCACCACTGGAAAACAGCTGTAATAGGCCAGACTGCAGTTAGACTAAAAGGGAAGACCATTTGCAACTAAGGATTTGGTTTAGTTTGCCAATTTACTGAGTAATCAAATATTAGTGTGGAGTGGTCACTTCAGCTGCTTCAGAGAACATTGCTTCAGTACACGTTTTCTCGGGCTTAGACATGTCATCCATTTTAATGTTTTTCTCGCAGTACCTCCTCGTTTTGTGAATAAAATGAGGAATGCTGTCTTTATTGCTGGTGAGGATGCGCAGTTCACCTGTGTCATTCAGAGCGCCCCCAGCCCCAAGATCAGGTACGGACATTTGTTGCTAAGAAACTGGCAGAACCATTTTAATTAAATCTAGTATTTTCTTTGAAATGTCTGTGCCTCCCCTGTGTGTTAATCTCTGCGCTGTGTGGCTGTGTGTACCTGTTAAAGATGGTTCAAAGATGGCAGGCTGCTGACTGACCAGGAAAAGTATCAGACCTACAGTGAGCTCCGCAGTGGGGTTCTGGTCTTGGTAATAAAAAACCTGACAGAGAGAGACTTCGGACACTACGAGTGTGAGGTTGGTCTACACTACTCAGTACAACACATTATATTTAAATCATATGACTAGTGTTTTTTAAACTAATATGTAGAGAGAAAAACAAACATTGCCAGTAGGCAGAAATTCTGTCTAGGATATTAAGTTTAGAAACAAAATAAGGCTTCTGGCACAACTTCACCTACTTCCAAGGGGCATGGAGACAGGAAAAAATCCAAAGAGGTAAAAAACTTGAGCAACACTTGTAGTAAACAGATGATGGTCAAATGAAGTTCCTCTGTTTACTACAATTGGTGCTGGAGTTTTGACCTATATTTAGTTTAAAAGAAGAAATGACTTTCATTCATGTTAATTTGTACTTAGACCTAAGAATCTACTCCAAGTCCATTGATGTCAATTAGCAACATCTTTAGTCTAAAAATACATTCCCTGCTGTTTCCAGCTGTCCAACCGTCTGGGCAGTGCCAAGTGTGCTGCTGATCTAGTCCTACCCTCTGCTGTGGCTCGCACTGGTGAACAGGCCATCACTATTGAAGGTAAGAACTCTGACTTTATCCTTACAAAAGCAGACTGTATAATATACAATTTTTTTCAGGTTCTGAAAAACTAGTAAAATAACTTATTCTTGCATTTAAGTTTAAAGATGGATGCATCTTATACTTTAGATGTGTTCATTTTTAATTCAACTCCAGCTTACACTTATCATCTTGCTTCTATTAAATCTGTTTCTACCTGCTTCTTCCACAGTTACCGAGCAGGAGACTAAAATACCAAGGAAAACCATCATTATGTAAGTGTAATTGGACTAAACTGATCTTCTTGCATGTGATATAATTATTTTTGGCTTTATTGTGTTGACATTGCTTCCTCAAACAGAGCATGGGCTGAGAGGAAATTTGGAGCACTTTAGCTTGTGTGTGTGTGTGCCTCTCTCTGGCCCCATGTATGTATCGTTGTGTTGTATTTAAAGCCTGAGTGCAAAGGATTCTATCACAACGACAATGAAAGGATGGGCTGTTTTCACCAGGGTGCTGTCTTCTTTAACTGGTAACTTAATTATTGCAGCTCCTTATACAGACAGACAGACATTTAAAATGATGTGATGTGTACAGAATAGACTGAAATAATTTAATTACAATATGGAAAGAAAGGATGAGTTCATATTGTTGTGATTATATCCTTTTAAACCGCAGTGAACAGTGCAGAAACCTTCGGGATGCATGTGACAAATGCTTCCTTAACATCAGACTTTCCAGTTTTTGGGGAGTCACCTTTTCCTAATTAGTTACTAGTCACTTGTATGAGTGACTTATGGGTGGCTATTTAAGCCCACAGGCATCAGTGTGAAAACTGCATGCAGCCTGGTAGTTGTACATAAGATCTGTAGCACTGATATTGTCCTTGGTCGTTTTTTAAATCCAGCGAGGAGACTATAACCACTGTGGTGAAAAACCCTCGTATGAGGAGGCACAGATCCCCCGGCTTGACTGTTGCTGGAGCCCACCGCTCTGAGACTTCCACCCCAGAGCCTGCCACCGCCAGGCTCAGGAGGATGCCCACTCCAAGAAAGACCGCTATCCCTACCCTCTATGTCACCGAGCCCGAGGGTGCTGAGGCCAGGGCTATGGAGAGCAAACCCAGGTGGGTTGAAGTAGAGGAGGTCATCGAGTACAAGGTCAATAAATCTCCCAGGCTGCCCAGGAGGAGAGGCATCTCACCTGCAGCATCTGATCGCGCAGCCACTCCCTCCAGACCCAAAAGGTCTCCACCGGAAAACCCAAACGCTAACAATTCTAACAACAAGCTAGTGGAGCAGGCTCAGGCCCAGCTGCCTGGAGACGTCAGCAGCCAGCCGCTCTCCTGGGAAGAAGAGGAGGGCAATGCTCCCTCTGGTTCTGCCACTGTAGAGCCACATGAGCTCTCAACTGTCCTCACTCCAGCTGGAGAGGACAACGATGACCTGGATGATCAACAAACTGTCATCTTTGAACCTGATGATGAAGATAATGATCATGATCTGTTCAGAAAGCAGGAACCTAAGATCCTGAAACAAGGAGATCGTGTTTTGACCCTCGAGGACTTGGAGGACTATGTTCCAGAAGAAGGAGAGACCTATGGCTCCTCCAACGTTATCACTGAAAAGCCTTGTGAGATCTCTGTGCTCCAGAGGGAGATCGGTGGGTCCACGGTGGGACAGCCTGTGCTCCTGAACGTGGGGCGGCCTGTCGTGGCGCCGAGGCAGAGGAGCAGCTTCTTCAGTCGCTTCAAGGAGCACCTCTCTAGCAGTCTTTTCTCATCCACTGTCCCTCAAGCCGGCGGAGCACGGTCCAGTACGGAGAGGCACGTGCCCATCCAAGTGAGCCACGCAAAGCTCGAAGTGAAGCCTTCCTACTGCTCAGAGGTGCAGAGAGTTGAAGGTGGGCAGCAGAGCTTTAAAACCAAAGTGTCAACTCAGACTTACGGCTACACATCAGTGGGAAACCCAGTCACTCTTCAAATTAGAGATAACCTTTATCAGAACCAATAGATGCAAACATTTTTAATTTGGTACCACAAACCCTCTTAGTCTTAAATGGGGACATTTCTACTTACATGATGAAAAAGAACTTATCCTAACCTCAAGTATCTTTTCTGCACTTGACAGACCATTCCATTTTGAAGCTTCCCATCTGAAAGTGGACTCATCCTCTGAGTCTTTTTCTTTTTTTGTCAAATGGTTAGAGTCGCCTGGTCTCTTTAGACTAGGCGAGTTGGAATGTCACTGTAAGCAGGTTTCAGTCCCATGCCATCCCGTTACAACTGCTATATTGTCATGTATATGTGTTGTACAATGCACATGATAGACAGAAGCTACGAAACTAAGGTTTGACATTTTACTGACACTTTCATTGTCTTTTGTTGAGCTGAATTAATTTCATCACATTTCACTTATACATACCTTCACTAATTCATGAACCTTGACCCACTATTATTAACTGATCCAGGCATTATCTTTAGTGATCTCTCTTGTCATATTCATAAACAAAATAGTTATACAATAGATATTTAGATATACATATTTTTTCGGTTTTACTTTTGTACCTTTTCAAGAAATGTTGCCTTTTGCACTTTTGCAGTGCCTTGGATTGTTGGATCAGCAAATGTTGGAGTTAAAGACTATTGATGAGGTCATGACTGCATGTTTCTATTTCAGTATTACTGTAAGTTAACTTAAATGTGCAGCACTGATTATGTAAAACCAACAGAACTCTGGTGACTGTTGGGCTGTTGTCTAAGTTGAATCAAAGATGTACGATCAAATTATCGTCAGTTTGGTAAAATCGGACAGAAGTTCTCTACTACTTTTGTTATTTGTGAATGATTTCTTGGTGAGCAGCTTTTACAAATGTGACATTGCTTCAAGCAAATCATTTGGTAGGTGAACTGACGACCTGTTTCACAACAGATCTGTGTTTGACTGCATCCGTTTGCAGATGTGCCTACAATTGTGAATTCAACGTTATACTCAAGAGTTTTAGACATTTTGACATCTGTTAATGCAGTGCAACGACCTGTGAACTCACAGGGTGACGCAGGGATATTCATGAGTATGTGATATTTAGATGAGTGACTGCATGTATTTGCTTTTCCAAAGGAGATGTGTTTATCCAAAGTAACCTGACCTGTCATGTCATATTTGATTATGAGCAAATGTTTGTGCAAAATACTTGAGCTCAGAATTTACTACCTTTTCAATGCAATTTAGAATGTGACTAGAATAACTGCCTCTTTAGAGATGTGTGGTGTTGGTGTTGTTTAAAGGTGTTCTAGTTAGCTACAAGGATCATGTTATGTAATAATATCAAAGGCACTAACAGATTTTAATTGCTTGTACTTTACATGTGTAGTTTTTGGAAACATGAGATACTCAGTGTTAAATCAGAATAAATAAATGTACTGCAAATAATAGCTAGTTTCTTTCACAATTCTTACTTACAGCACGCATACAAATAATTATTACCCCAGTATTGTGTTTTGACATATTTATTGGAGTTTCAACTGGTAACATAGTCTTACTGCTGGATGTTTAATGAACTTAATCCATAATGATATATTTTTATCAAGCACAACATTGTAATAGCTGGTTAGGTTTAAATGGCAAACCAGAGGACTGCATGCATCTCAACAAATATGATGTGACATTTGCACAAATAATTTAAATAGCAATGAATAATTAACAGTTATAACAAGAACACAAAATCACCTGCACAAAGAAATGGGTGTTACAGGGTGCCTGAATATAATTGTCTGGGTATTTTTAATATCCGTGAAATTGAAAAATGTAATAAGAAAAAAACATGCCAATTTACAAATGGATTATAAATGTTTTCTTAGCTTTCAAGTAAAAGGAGGTTTATCGTGTGCTTAATTCTAAGCAATATAAAAAAGACACGCCATTTAATTTGTCTTCAAAGTTAAAAAGCTCTCCTTTTGTTATGAATCAAAACAGTCCAATGAATGTCATTTTACTCTACAGCTGAAGCTGCAAAGTGATTAAGTTACACAATATAAAAGTTTTACAAATTCACAACTGTAAAATAAACAGTTAAACTGATCAGTCACAGCCAACAAAACAACAAAAAGGTGACATTAGATGTACTATTGTTTCTTTGTTCTACGCTACATTTTCTACCTCTATCATGGGATTTAATCCTACTATAGCACTTCAGTATTTATCCTTATCCAGCAAACCAAACTTTAATGATGTTAACACACTATGTGGCCAAGTCTGTAGAGTAAAAGCATTAACCAGCACTGGAACAGTTGTATTATTTCAACAGTACAGTTGACTTGCATGTATCCCTTGTAAGTAAACAACTGCCATGTTTTCCGTCGCCAGCACATTTGATTGTTTCTGTAAATCTATTTAACTATCAACACAGTTGCACAAAAAAACTCTAATGTTGTAAGAATAACATAACTCACTGCCACTAACCAAGATATCCAGATACATAGTTCTTCATACCATTGACAAACCAGTTTATCCTGAATGGAATGAGTTATTTTAAGCTTTGTTTGCAGGACCAAGCTGCAAGTAGTATATCCATTTATCTGAACATCCTACCATGCCAGTCTCATCAAGTAAGGATTATTGGAGTATCTTTTTTTCATACAAATGAAAATAAAAATATAAAAAGCGCTTTGTCAGTAAAAAAAAAAAAAAAGGTCCACTTTACAGTATGTTATCATATACTTCTAAACAGTATGTAAATCCAACGGACAGACCACCATCTGTGGGAATGTACACGACTGGAATGGAGGTCTGTGGTTTTGTGAGGAGTGGCTGGACGGGACTTCATGGTGTCAGGATGCCGCTGGTCTCCTACGAAGACATGCTGATTTTCTTCACTTTATTAATTTCCTAGAGAAAGAAAAAAACATCATAACATAACGTCATAAAGAAGTCATAGTATAGTGTTATGGCTATAGAGATCATATGGAGATCAGAATTTAGGTCACAGGTTCCCCAGCTAATCAGGAGCAATGGGATGCACCTGGGATCTCCCTCAGCTGGTGGCAATCAGCTGAGGCTGGGAGGTTTTATAAGGAGATTTGGTTTCCTTGTTCATGTGGTTGTGTGCTGTCAGAGGGGCAAAACCTTCAGTTAGTTTTCTGAGTTTTGTGTTGTTGGTCTTGCCTATTCTAAGAATTTCTCATTTGGCAATTTTTATTTACCCCCCTTCTCTGTGTCTTCCAATATCTTTTGATTTTGGTCCAATTCTTCTGTTATTCTATCCCCATTTTTAGTGGGTGATGGTTGGGAACTATATTCCCACCGGTACCTTTTAGAACCCACGGACTCATTTTGTTCTGTGTTTTGTTGCGGTGTTTAGTGTTTTGTTAGTTTCCCCAACAGCGGCCCCTGTGTACCAGGATTTTTTTTTGTTTGTTTTTTTGGGGGAAACGTAACAATAGTAAGGCATAAAAGGTCATAGTATAGTAGGGCATAAAAAAGAGGCCCAGGGTTCGAACCCAGAACCTTCTTACCACTGTACCACCGTGTAGGGTAAAAAAAAAAAAAAAAAAGTCATAGTATAGTAAGGCATTAGAGTCGCCAATTAGCCTAATGTGCATGTCTTTGGATTTTGGGAGGAAGCCGGAGCAACCAGAGGACTTGCGTAGGCAGGGGGAGCCACTTAGTTCGCTAATGCCTGGGGCCGGCCTTTGGCTGCAGCTAGCTAACTTAACAAGCTAACATTAGCTCCATTAGTTATTTGAAAACTCGGTCTCCAGTTGACTGCAGCCCCGTGCACAGCACAATCCAAAGCTTGACAGGAGCTGTTGTGCCTGGTTTTGGTTGCTAAAATATGACTGGATAATCACTATTCAAGGGGAGGGGGTTAGCAAATGGTCAACAAAACTTTTCATTTGTAACTGTGTTTGTTGATACGCAACTGTTAATAGTGTTAATAGTAACTCACCTCAAGAAGAGCATTTTTTAACTGCCCATAAGCATCCTCCAAACTGTCATTGACGATTATAACATCAAATGCACCAGGTTCTTTACCTAAAAGAAGATACAAATATTCTCACAGTCATGATTTGAACGTTTGGCTGGTTTGAAACTTTAGTTTTTCTGAGCAAACTGTAAATACTTACTGAACTCCATTTCCACCTTGGCTGCATGTAAACGTTTCTGGAGACTCTCCTCTGACTCTGTTTTCCTGTCTCTTAAACGTTTTTCCTGTAACAACAAAATCAAATCAACAGAAGGCATGCAGAAATATTCAGAGGATCCAAAACCTGTGGGACCAGTTATGTGACAACAGGGAGTGTCTAAATGTGAATAAACTGTTTATTCAGAGAGAAGCATTTCCTTGTGCTCTCACCAGGATTTCTATGGATGGTGGCTGGATGGAGATGTAAATGGGATTGAGGTTTGTCCCTTTGATGTTCCTCACACCCTGCATGTCAATGTCAAGTATACAGATGAGGTTCTTGGCCTGGACGTCTTGCACAGCGGCTTTACTCGTCCCGTACATGTTCCCAGAGAACTCCGCGTTCTCGATGAAATCACCGTTGTCGATGCCAGCCTGCATCACCTCCCGTGTTACATAATGGTAATCTGAAACCACAGAACAAGGACACATGAAGAAGAAAAAAAAATATAAAACTGTTTACTAGAAATTTAAGAAATGAGTTGTTAGCATGGTCATGAAAAAGGAAACTCTGTACCTTTGCCATTTTCCTCTCCAGGCCGGGGGTTTCTTGTTGTATCTGAGGATTGATGAGACATTTATGCCATGGTCTGTACTGGATTTGAATCTAGAGCTGAATTGATTAGTTGATTGGGTTTTATACCAAAACAAAGTTGTACACTTACGAGAGACGCTGAAGCCAAAGACACTGTCATATTCCTTTATGAGCTTCTTCAGCAGAGTGCTCTTCCCTGCCCCGGAGGGCCCGCTAAGCACCACAGGCCTGGGTCCAGCCATAGCTGAAAGAGAAGTAGAGAAATGAGGAGTTGTCAGTGAGGGCTGAGAGACTGAGGCTCAAGGGTGACACATAACCACTGGAATCTCACTGCATGAGTCATCGTAGGAGCAAATCTGTTTGTGCACAGACATATGGTATTAAAATCACAGCAGTAATACAACATTATATAGCAGCTTCACATGTTTAGACAAACCTTGCTCTGGTGGATAAACATGATTAAATGATAAGCCAGCAGTTCTCAAAGCAAATGATGAGACCAAAATATCCCCTCAGGAAGAGAGCAATCAACTGGTTGGCAAGCTATGGAGGTTACCATGGTGCTGTAGAGGAACAATTCATCACTAATTGGAGAGCCCTACTGCACTTGTTGATGGCAGGAAAGAACAGAACAGTTAACAAGAAAATTTCTGAGTGCTAGATGTACTGAAGGTACAGAGTGGGCTTGGTTCCCCCAAGACACAATGGACATCTGCCATGGCCATCCTCTGGGCTAAGAGGGGCCGAGCAGAAGTTGCAAATGGAGAGTGTAATGCACATCAGGACATAGTTTCTGTGATACGTTTCTGTGATTTGTGTGTAAGAGCCCGTCCATCTCAACGCAGACATCGCCAAGGCGAGAGCACCCAGGCACATGTAACACTGTAAGGCCAGCAATGGCAGCAGCTGGCAGAGGCGGTAAGGTGTAAAGGCTAGCTAATGCTAACAACATACACGACCTATGTGCTTAGGCGAACAGATGAAAAGGACACTGCTGCTGGGTGTCAGGCTTCTTTTATCGGGTGGTTTGCCTCACCCTGGTCCCATGCATGACTTGGTACAATGACTCCACCTCGTGTATTGCATACCGTCTCCAGCAGTCAGGAAGAATGAAACATGACTTCCTTTAACTAAATTACACAGCCATCCAGTCACTGCCAAGCCTATACAGAGTACTTGCAGTATACATGTTTATAAAAGGTACTTGTTTCTCGATATCTTGCCTTTTGTTTCCCCATTACCAGTTATTTTTGGCATGCTACTCAAGTAAGGAATAAAGTAAAGCCCATAGTGTTCCTCCTTACCTTTCCACACAGAGTGCAAGTAGACAAGGCATTCAAGTGAGCAGGGCGGGTGTGATTGTGTGTCGTGGGTGATGTACAAGAGCAAAGGGGAGGATGGAAAGAAAGGGCAGGGCCATGTTTACACACCAGTATTTTGAATGGTTTATACATAATGATCTGATATTGCAGAAAGATCCATGTGTGTATTATTACTAGTCCAATTACTATTACTTACATCAATATCAGGTATCAGATGGGTTGGCAAGAAGTTGGAAAATTAGGTATTCCATATGACATGATGACATGCACTAAATCAAAAACAAAAATGTGTTCATTAGCTTAATCGATCTTTAAAAACAAAAGTAAAATGTGCTAGATTTTGGCACGCCTCTGTGGTGTTTGAATACATAGAATAAAATCACAGCATTATGAGCCGTCTTGTCTCTAGGCAAACCAGATGCAGCGAGGCTGTGTCTGCAGGTGCAAATGACAAGAGTCACTCTCAGTTGCCTCTTGAATGCTTCCCGTAAACAGCAACATGGCTAATTAAAGTTGCAGGTGTTCCTTTTTCAGAGGTCAGTGAAGCCTCAACATTTTCAGTCCTGTTTTTAGAATGGGTATCACCCCCTAACCCCAACCCTCCACAACCAGATTTTCAAAAGTTATCCATGATTGTATTTGGGCAATTTACAGCAGCTTCATGTTATCATTTAGAAACAAACAGGGCTGCAACTACCAAATGTTTCTAATTAAATATTTTTCTTAGTTTATCATTAAGTCTATAAAAAGTCCACCACATTTTCACAGAGCCTTTGAAGATGTTTAATTTACAGCAATATAAGACACATTGGAGAGGCTGCAACCAGTGAATGTTCAGCATGTTTGATAAATGTCTGAAATGATTAGCTGTCAAAGTTGATGCAGATTCATTTCGTTGATTGACGAATCATTTCAGTTCTAGAAATAAAGACATTTTTTATGCCCACTGTCCTGTGGGCTGCTTATACTTGAAAACACCTACTATAAGTTCATCAAACAATGAACAGAATCAAATTTAAAAAGCCTCATCTGCTTTCTAATTGATTAATTGCCAAAATGAAAAGATAATACCACCCAAGTTATTATAAACAGTCCTGGAACACTTGATTTATGAAATTAAATCAATCAATTCTAATTTTAAGAATTTCTTACTCCCGAAAGCAACAGATAACTACTTAAATGAACATTAAATGTGCAATTTCAAGCCATCATTTTGAGGAACAGATGGTACAGTTACATAATTGCCGAGTCCCCTTTCGCCTCTTTATGTCCACATAAAGGTTGGATCACAGGGCTAAGAGGAATTAACATCAGTCCTGAAACAGGCAGGAGTTCTGTGTCTTGCTCAAGGAGGGAAACCTCATAACTAATCATTGACAATTGCATTTCTTATTGACATCATCTGACACCTGCAGCTCCCATTCACTCACACAAGAACCAACCTCGAACCAACCTTGTACTTAGATTAGAGCTGTGTGACAGGAAATGAGAGACATGAGTTTACAATTATCCATGTGCACTCAAGCTCATGTGATTGATATTTGCCTGAAGCAAATTTTAAGTCATGTGAAACCTATTAGACCTTAGTGGTCAGATCAGCAACTACTTTCCAAGCAAAAAGTGACATTTTATGGTTCCAGGTTCTCAGATGTGATGATTCAGTATTTTTCAGCCTTTTCATGGACAGAATGATTTATTGACTAACAGAGAAAACACTTAACAGAATAATAAGTAATGAAAAATAAAAAATTTTTGCAACTCTGAAAGTACAACATACAGTTTGTAATGTCAAAGCAGTTATTTTGTTAGCTCAGTTTGCCCTGAAACAGGGGTGATTTGGAGGTTAAGTGGGCACACGCACATTCAGTTTTCCTTTATATTCAGTTTAATGCTGTGATCCTCTCAATCTAACTCAGTTTTTTTCAGAAATTGTGAAAGTAGCAATTTCCGTTTATTAATATAGAGTAAGTGTCACAAGTTTCTACAATCTTGTGCCAGACTTATCTAACAGATAAGAACAGCTAAGTCGGGCATTGAAAAGGGCACTTTTAATCATTGTTAGTAGCAATAAAATGTTATGGATCTGTATCTAAATAAAATTAAAATGTATTGGATTGCTATGTGCACTGGTGCTGACTGGCATGACTTTTTTGATTACTTTATTATCATATAAAACCTTGATGACCTTGTCATAATAGGCTGAATTAAAGATGCAGGAGTGAATAAAGGCTTTAAAATATTGCATCATTTGGCTTTAATATATTACATTGTATAACTATGTTATCAAAATGACCTTATGTACAGTTGATTAGTGTCTAATACAGCCTTTTAAAATGTGAACTGTTTGCTGTGTACACAAGCACTGTGTTATGAATACAACTGAACTCAATGGGCCGCCAAAGACTTCAGTGCAATATATAACTCATAATACCTAAAACTGTGTGTTATAATGAGCTTATGTACATATGTTCAATGGGTAACACTGCACATTTAGAATACTACTGTATATATTACCTGACATAAATGGATGTCTATGGGATTGCTTTTAAAACTTTTGTTTGCAGGACTTTTACTTGTAATTGCGTATATTGTGTTTTCATGTTGATGTACTGGTACAGGTAAGTAAATATTTATTTCTACCACTGAATGTCTAACAGTTGTCAATAAGAAAAGACATAGCCCCATTCTAAGAATCCAATTAACCATAACCTGGCATACTTCTGGTTGAACTACAGGTAACATTGAATCAGCTAAACTAATCCAGTTTAGTAAACAACAACCATCTTAACCTGCAGCAACGGTGAAGAAAAACAGTGACTGGAGTCACACTGACGGAAATGAATGGCTGACTCTTAACTACAGTGATACAGAAAACAATTCAAACAGAACGACACAGACAAACACATAAACAAACAACATCCTCCTTCTTACCTGAAAATAGCCTGGAAAAATATCTCATGTACATCGGGAGTTACGTTAGTCTAAGATTGTGAGACCTTGTCCGGAGGGTTTTCTCCCTCCTCCGCTGCAAGAGCCATTAGGGAACCGGGGCTGTCTACGTCATCACTGCGGGTCACAACATTAACACGTCACGGCGAGAATGTGCGAGACAAAACAAAGAATCGTCAAGTTTTGCTATCATTAGCCAAAGAGAAAATATGCTGCAAACGCAGGCATTTTAAATGTATCAGTGCAATAAGCTAGTAGCTACACTTTTTTCCTTAACGCGGAGATTAATGTATGCACGGTGAGGGATTGCCATTGCTGTAGCTCTGTTTTCAGGGCGCGGAGTAACGCATGCTGCAGAGCATAGCCTAGCTGGAGGAGTTAGATCGCTGTTTTACTCAACAATACCTCTTGAGCTTGGTGGACATTTCATGAAAATACACGCTATATTAGTTGCCGGGTTAGTTTCAGTGGTCTGAGTAAATACCACCAGAAAGCACGTTGTTCCGACCGATGCAGGGGTCCTAAACACATCGTAACTCCCCGGATGAGTGAACGCTGAAGGCCTGGCCAATCGCGCAGCTCATGTGCTACCGTGGCTAAAAGTTAGCGGGCAGGACTAGCGGCCCGCAGTTCTTAATCTAAAAGTGACTGACTAAACATGTTTGGTTCTTCGAGATCAGGGGGGATCCGAGGAGGACAGGACCAGTTCAACTGGGATGACGTGAAAGTTGATAAACACAGAGAAAATTATCTCGGTAAGTTTTAAGAGCCAAGTTGGCTATGGGCGCTGACCAGAGACAATGCTAATAGTTGTCTGCTAACTTACAAACAACAGAGCAAGGCATGTAAAATCACACATAAGCTACACACAATGGCTCCAATGCTTCACGTGCTGTTTCTGCATACCTTTTGTTTTAGAGTCCCTCATTCCACAGTATCTGTGCTGGTCTAGTCGTTCGCTTTTCCTCCTGTTTTCCACCCTACAAACAGCAGGTCTTAGCTTTTATTACTTCCCGTCTCTCTCACTGAGCAGACACACGTAGCCTCTCAGTTATGTGACCCCAAACCGCTGGCAACATGTCAGCATGCCAAGCAAGGGCTACGTAGCACCCACCACAGCTGTGACATGAAAGGATAAAACAGAATAACGTTACACCATGTGTTCAGTAAGTTAAATAAACACATGAAATGGGTATTATGGTACAATAAAAAGCTTATTGTAACAGTACACATCTTATCAGCAGCAGAGATTTTCTAAAGTCTGGTGAGATTAACAAGTGGCTCTGGAGAGAGGAAATGACTCTGTAATGTGTATTCAGTATGTAATTTATTTTTTATTCATGTGTTAAATCAAAGCTAAAATTCTACCAAAAAACTGAATTTAATTTGTGCTGTTCCAGTAAGTTTGGATAGTCACATCAGTATCAACAATAACTTGCATCTGCAACAATGAGTTATCAGTTGATTAATCATTTAAATAATTTTCAAGCAATGTTAATGTAAAATGTTAAACATTTGATGGTTCTGCTTCTTAAATAGTGGATTTTAGACTATTGTTTGGACAAAACATGGACATTGGACATTTAAAGACCATGTGCTCTTGGAAATCTGATAAGCATTTTTTGCTTTTATCTGATGTTTTATACACACAATAATAAATCACTGCATCTGGGAAGGAATTTGCTTATTAATTGGTGATGAGAACAGTTTTTTGCTACAGCCCTACACAATCATAAATTGCGAGATCTGAAGTGAGTGAAGCCATGAGGTGACCTCCATTGGAGTTGTTCCTTTAACACTAAATTAGATTGACTGAGCTCAATTCATTATTGTTTTTGGGTATTGCATCCAGGAGTTTTATGTTATTGTAGGGCCAAGATCTTTGAATCAGAAAATGTTTCATTCATAAATTGTACAAACTTTACGTCCTGTTAAAATCAGTTTGGCCGCTGTTGTGGCATTCCACATTGTTACATTACCACTACAGCAGCGACTCTGCTGTTCAGCATAAGGAGGGACTAGTTAAAATTCACAAAGTAGAACTCAGCTCTACAGTACAGTAGAAATAACATAAATAACACATCTTTCTCAATCACTCTCAATTCCTCTGTGTTATTTCCAGGTAACTCTTTGATGGCACCAGTAGGACGATGGCAAAAAGGCAAAGACCTGACATGGTATGCAAAAGACAAAAAAGGCAAGGAAGCTTTGTCCAGAGAGGATGAACTTGCCGCCATCAAAGCTGCAGAGCACGAGGCACTGATGGCTGCCCTGTATGTATAACTTCCTTTTAAAAAGAAATTGGAAAGTAATGCAAGCATAGACTGATGAATGTAATTAATTTACTTTTCTGTTTTTAATCTAGAGGGCACAAGAATATAAAGAGACAACCAACTGGCCTGACCAAAGAGGTATGTCACTTTGTTTCAGTTTTGCTTTCAGTCAAAAGATCAGAAAAAGCTGTTAAAGAATTTGCCTGCTTTAAAAATGTTGAATGATATGAATCTTTTTTGATACTAGGACCTTGCAGATGTTTGCAGGCGGGAAGAGGTTGATGGTGAGGAGAGAAATGTGGACCGTGTCTCAGGCCTGGGAAGCTCCAGGTGATTTTTTTTTTTTTTTTTCTGTCTTCTTAATAGGAAAACCATGGTTCTATTTTTGTTCAGTCACAATGTTCCTCTTGACATTCAAGTGGTGGCTAGAGAGCTGCTTATCCGAGTGCACTGTGATTCTAAAGTGTTTGTTTACAAGTGTGTGTTTCCTTTTACAGTGCAGGGTCAAGGAAAATGTTGCTGTCCCAAAAAGAAAAGGAGGCTGCGAAAATAGGCTTACCAGTTTTTACAGTAAGTTGACTTTCTCTCTCCATGGCCTTTTCAAATGTCAGATATTTAATATACTGATATTGATTATGTCAATAATGTGCCATGCATTATGATGGACAAAAATGATTGCAGTTTCATAATAAAACAAACGGGCCTTTTGAATATCTTTTTTGAGTAGTACTAGAAATAGTAGTATCAGTAAAAGTTAAGAGAAGTTCATTTCATGCGATCTGCACCTTGATGTAAAAATGAAAGAAATACTGTCTTTACAGCACCACAAGACCGAGGGTCGTCCAGAAACCGCAACAGCAAGAACATCTGAGAGTGTAGAAAAAGGAGAGGTGGAACAACGGTGCGTGTGCATATTAGTTAGTCTATTTCACATTCCATGCTCAAAAAACATCCAATATTTACCTCCACTGGGGCAAATGTGGCCCTGTATCCAGTTTTTTATGTTTATCTGAATAATAATTATCTTCACTACTCACTTTTAACTCTAGGCATGAGAGCAAAAAGAAGAAGAAAGAGAAAAAGAGCAAAAAGGAGAAAAAGAAGAAGGAAAAAAAGAAGAAAAGGCAAAGAAGAGACTCATCCTCTTCAGATTCAGATGACAACAGAAAGCGGTTGGTTCACTCATTCATTCTGTCACCCGAAGAGCGACAAAACAGGATTACTACAAACTATGGCTTAAAAAAACTGAGGCATTTTGGCTTCAATCAGTGATATTGTGTTGTATCTTAATAAATCATATTGCATATTTGCTCATGGTACTGTGTCCACCTCCTGCATAGTGGAGCAGACTTGCCATGAAACAGAAGCTTTCCTCTGTCAGCACTAGAGGGCACCAAGGCACTGTCCTACACACAGCAACTTGAAGCATTGCCTTTTAGAATTAGGGAGCACTTATCCCAAGATAATAGATATATTGTGTAAATCAGGTCTGTGGTGGTGTTGAGGGGGTATACCTGATTTAATAGTGTAATTTATGTGTTTCAGTAATTTGTGCCAGCAAGACAGGATTCACATGACCCAACATATGATAGACGTCTACAGAATTCATGATATATAAGCAGTTGAAGATGCAGAAGCGTGTCAAACACAATAGTCAGTTATATTCAGTTACCGGGCCATTTGGTATTTTCTGTGGATGTTACTGCAGAGCTCATCTGGCAGTTAATTCTTTCCCAGTGTCACAACATCTTAACTGAATCCCCACTGCAACGCCAGTCATTGATTGTTTGTTTCTTTTTACTCTTCAGGCACAGAAAGGACCACCATCATCATAATCCATCATACCATAGTCAGAGTGGAGCCAGACCCCATGACAGCCATTCAAGGGGGGGGGCAAAGGCTGAGCGACAGCCCTCCTACCCTTATCATCGACAGCAGCGGCATGACACAGACTCCTCTGATGGGGGGTCTCCTGTGTCCCGTAACCCCGCCAGCCACAAGATGGCCCCTGCTGGTGCAACACAAAGCCACAGGCGGCGCCACGACACAGACTCGGACGACTAATGTCCCCCTCCCCGTAAATTCAAAGATGCATAATGCAGACAGAGCGCTCTACAGCAGCTCGACTGGCCCTGAAGCCCTCATTTACCCTGGACAACCAAATATATAGGTGATGGAGACAGGTTAATGTGTCTGGCCTCATGTTTTAACTTTTCACCAATGACTTGGTCCTGGGACACTGTGTCTTTTGTGGTATTTTGAATTTTGTTAGTATTTCAACACATTCTGTATGATTTTACAACAATACTTACTGTATTGTATATCATAGGTTGTGAGTTTCTAGTTTTTATTTTATCACATAAAAAACCATGTAAGATAGAAATTTTTCAATAGCAAATGGAATTATCTTTTATTCCTATGTCTTGCCCTCGTGGCTGTTATTGCTCAGGAAATCTTAGAAATTTTAAGTTAAACCCAGAACATTGTTGCGTATGTTGGGTGACCACTACAATTCATCAGTGGAGATCAGTGATACAATGAAAATACTTAAATATAGGGCTTTGTGGCTGCCTCTTGCAAAATTACAACATTTTTAAAATCAATTAGGTGTGTTTCTTTTGGTGTTTTTTGTTGAAAATTCTCTAGGATGCTCCTTGATGCCTTTGCATCCTTGGACATCACCATCCCACTGTGCCTCTTGCACTACTCAGCAGCTCCAGTCCTTTTCTTTTTCTCAGTCATGCCAGCGCTCCTTAATCCCTCACCGTTCTAGGTTGAGCTCCCTGACTGGTGCGATACCATTGGAATGCTCTCCACTGGTCATAATAGAGTGTAGTGTTTGCATTTGCCTTGAATTGGTCTGAAAGAGGGTATTCTGCTGGCTGGCACCTGGGGGGTGCACTAAAAAAGAGCAAGGCATTCATAAAGAAGAGTGCAAAAAACCAGGCTGGTCCTTTTTATATGGCCGAGTACCGTTAGACCGCCACACACAAACCAAGCTGATGGAGCAGCAGGAGAGGAGGCCAGACAAAGCCACCCCATGAGGGACCCGAGACTCGAACTCCCTCTCCTTCCACCACTACCATACTCTCCTGCCATGTTTTATAGGCTTGGCTGCATTAACCACGGCAGCCTAATCAACCTGCAAGAATGCTGTCCTAGATTGCCACCCCAACACAATGTGAAACAGGGTGTGCTCTCCACATTAATGCTTTAACCCAACATTTGGTGATTTCCATTACCTTGGAGCATCACATTTCTTCCTGGGTCAAAGGGGTGATCACCCCAACAGTTTACTCTGACACCAATATCGTATCTCTTGTTAAATCAGCATTGTTTCCTGAAGTGTATTACTGCACTATTAGGTGTAGCGCTAATGATTATTCTCATTAATCTGTTTTTTTCCTCTTATTTTGCTTCATAGATACATTGAACAATTAATTTATTTCTTTGTTTATCAACTAGCCATGGCTATGGTCTATTTCAAAGATAAAAATATTAGTTTTGCTGTTTTTACAAATGGAACAGACAAAATACTACCAAGCAGGGAGAGATGCTACATCATGCAAATTTAACGTTCAGTCATTTTATTGCATAGAGTGAAACAATGAAAATCATCTTCAGACATTTTTCTCCAGTCACTTTAATTACAGTGCCTTTTTTTTCCTCACAAAACAAAAGCTTTACATAAAAAAACACAGACAAACTTAAGAGATTAATATAGTCTTCAAATATTTAGACAGTTATAATTCAAAAAAAATGTTTAATGCAACCCAGAGTAATCTTCGGAGCAAGTAAAGGAACACCCACACCTTTTAGAAAAGAAGAGGCAACATGTGTCTTGGATAACAAGGCATATGTATGACTTCCCGTTTATCCCAAGGACAATGTGCTGCAAAGGAAGAAATAATGGCACTATAGTAAAAATGTCGCAGAAACTGATTTTGTATTGCCATCAAAATGCCATTTTCCAGATTGTAATGAATAAAAAAAGAAAAAAGGCCTGACTTGCCAGAGCCATTAGTGACAACACTAAGGGTGTTGTAGTGTGCAACTCCTTTAGTTACAATTACCTCACACAGTTTACACTAGTAACAGTACAGGGCTGTTGAGAGTACTCAGTGGGGTAACAGTTCCTGTGCAGGCTAATGATGTAAACACCCAGTAAATATGCATGCCCTTTAAGACCAACGGAACACATCATGCAGTTTTGCTAACAATTATATCGCAAAGGCAGCACATGATCAACCTGAGACTCAGAAATACGAAAACCCAACGCTGACACAACAGACTGCCTTTCAAACAACCATAAAGCAGGTAGATATGAGATCATTGCATTTCTCAATTCAAGCCAACGCACTGTATAACAAAGGCTGGCAAGTGTTCACAGACAAGGAGTTCTCAATTTGGACAGAGTGATGTCAGTACAAATAGTATGCCAGTGTTTACTAAATGGTAATTTGGGGACTGGTACATGTAGTCACTGGTTAGAGTAACCATAGTAGCTGCAAGTAGTGCATCAGTGTATAATTCAGTTTTTGGAAAATTAAAAGCCCCTCATGGATCACTCTCTACAGTACGTGTGACAAGATAATAACAGGTCATCAGATTGCATTGAGGTCCCGGGGGCCAACATGTGCTGGTAAATTCTTATTTCATTGCCTCCCTTTTCTTATTCAATGCACACATGGCTGCCCCTCAGCCAGAAAGAGAAAAATAACCATGGCAGAATCTAAAAGAGTGCAATAAGCTGCCCCATTACCAAATATATTTACAATTACATTAAAAAAAAAAAAAATGTTTTACAAGAATAGATCAACCCCACCACTGGCCTGTATGTCTGTGGGAATAACTGCTGAGGAGAGGGCAGCTTCCGGTTTCTTTTTTTCTTTTTTCTTTTTTTTTTGGACTAGGTAGCTCAGTTTTGCAACACCTTGAGAGTAGAGAGCAAGGTCAGAGATTGTGTGGAGTAGGTAGGTTTGGATAGCTGTGATTATTAATGGTTTTTTAGCTGATTAGACAACCAATCCAGTCCTTCATAGAGACCATCTCCAGTGGTGGCACAGGTTGCCTGGATGTACCAGTGTCTGTTGCGTAGGGAGTGAAGATTCATCTTGTCTGTGAGTTCAGCAGCATTCATAGCGTTTGGAAGGTCCTATAAGCAATAAACAATGAGAAAACATTAGGAGTGTACCCTGTGTGTACAACAGGCCAAGAAAAAAAACATGCGATAAATGTGTTGTGATATGCACCTGTTTATTTGAAAGACTGATTAAATATTACTTACTTGTTTGTTGGCAAACACTAATAGGACGGCATCACGCAGCTCATCCTCTGCCAACATTCTCAAGAGCTCTTCACGAGCCTCCGTACATCGTTCTCTGTCATTGCTGTCCACAACAAAGATGAGACCTGGAACAAGAGCAAATGTAGAACAAATGAGTGTGTGCAAGTTACGGATCTTTTAAATACAAAGCAGTGAAAATTTTGTGAATTAAAAAAAAACGAAAACACATTGCAAAGTCATTGATTTAAAGCAAACAAATATCAGGCTCTAAGGTTTTGATATAATTAAACGTACCCTGTGTGTTCTGGAAGTAATGACGCCACAGCGGTCGAATTTTGTCTTGACCACCGACATCCCATACTGTGAAACTGATGTTCTTGTACTCTACTGTCTCTACATTAAAGCCTGGGGGGGAAACAAATAATCACATTAATAACAAACTCAACGTTCTCATTCAACAGTAATAAGGTATTCTGGCCTCCTAGAATAGTATTGTTCTAAACACGTAACAGGCATGTAATAGGTAAAGGAAAGACATTTTTCAATGTTTTGTTTACCTATTGTAGGAATGGTAGTCACAATCTCTCCAAGTTTGAGCTTGTACAAAATAGTTGTTTTTCCAGCAGCATCCAGGCCCACCATGAGAATCCTCATCTCCTTCTTTCCGAACATTTTAAATAACCCTGCAAACACATTCCCCATGGTGGCTGGTGATAGGAACCTACTTTGGCAAAAATAAACCTGTGGAGAAAACAACAAATCAATTGTTAAATGAGGGTGCTACAGAACCAAACCAAACAGTGGATTTAAAACTTGATTGTAAGAAGTAATTACAAAAAGTCAAAGGACAGAAATGTATCAACTCTTTCTTGATAACTGATCCTAAATCATTTAGCAAACATAAAGTTGAGAGGGCTTGCGTCTTATTTTTGTTTTATGTGATTGTAACCTGAATATATTTGAGTTTTGGAAGATGTCACCTTGGGCTTTAGGAAACTGCGATGGGCACTTTTCACAATTTTCAGACATTTTATAGACCAAATGATTAACTGAGAAAACTATGGGCTGATAAATCAATAATGAAAACAATAAATAGTTGCAGTCATAATTGTATCAGAGTTTCTATGTGTTGAAATATGACCACAAACAAATTGTCATCTCTAACGCCTACATAGACTCTAGTTTCCCCATCTAAAAAATGCACTGCACCTACTACTTAATGCCTCGCACTATTGCTGCTGCTGCTACCTTTAGTAAGAACTAGCCAACATCTAGTCCTATTTTAGCCCCAGTTTCTGCATCTGATCCTGTATCAAAATGACATTTGAGTCACATACCAAAGTATCTGTTATTCTGAAAAATATATACCTGACTGCCTTTGAGTGGGTCATTTAACAACACTTACTGTTATTCTATAATGATATAACCTGAATCCTAAAAGACTCAATCCATCTGGATTGAACACATAAAAAAAATAGCCCAGTTCCCATATTGCGCCTACCCTTTTTAAACCAAATAAAGATGGTAGCCGACAATGATATATGTCCTTGCTCAATTTGTACAATGTGAACCAGTAACAGTTTATATTTTGTTAATATTCTGCTTGTGTTTTAGAACATATACAATTTCCAGCCACTGGATTAGGAAATATGATCACAATGTGAGATACAGGCTACAAATCTTCTGTTTTTCTATCGTGTAATAGACGATTTAAGCTTATTTATGCTTTTTTTCAGAAAATTGGATGCTTATTATTCCTTGTTCATGCCATGTTATTGCGAGCATTCACTGCATTGAGACGGTGCTATGCTTACAGCTGGTCATGAGAAGATTAAAATAGTGAGTATATGACACCATATTCATACAATTTCAGTTTAATTACATGCGGCTATAGGGTTTGGCTGATGTGAGGCATCCATATTTGTTTGGATTTGACGTAACCCCAAAGTGCCAATTCGGATATATAGCAGCTTTCATAAAGTTTCCCAATTGACATAAACACTTCTACAAGTCGAAAACTCGTCATTAAAGCCTTTGTAAATATTCTGTCATTCCTGACAAACAGGAGACATCGAGAGGATGAATTTGATTGTGCTGTGACCGAATCAGGGTAACCTACCGAGTGCGGAGGTGACGAACAGGACTAGCCTTGTACAGTTGGACTAGCCGCCATCCTGTACCAAGACGTAGAGATAACGAATTTGCTCTTCACTCATTAGACTACATATTAGGACCGCAGCAGTTTCGTAATGTCGGCTCATTGGAGTACTTTAAACTCACCAAGGTGCAGTGCTAAAAGTTGTCCTACGTAAACAAACAACACAGTTAGCTTTTAAGGGTGTAATGCTAACAGTCCTCCGACTAGTTCATATTTTATGATAGTCTATTGTAAACTACTTTTGAGGACGCTAAGAGTCTTATTGCACATTTTTTTATGCCAACATAATACAGTACAGACGTGAGCATGAGTAAGAAAGTAAGGAAATACAAACGAATGTCAGACTCAGATAAACTGGCTAACGTTAATCGGTAAAGTTAGCCCGTAGCTGCAAGTCGTTGTGTTTGTCTCGGCGTCCTGACTGTCGTGAACGCGGTCACACACACGGTTAAGCTGGCAAATGTGGCTTTTTGAACGACTACATCCGATGAAAACAACAATAGATTAGCTTCATTAAAGTATGTCTTTTACACTTACACAGTTTATATATTCCCTTCCCTCTTCAAGGCGTTTCCTTCCTCAGGAAAATGGCGACAATTTGACACGTCAGAGGTTCCGTTCCTGCAAAACTTCCGTGGTCATCATCAGGATGAGAGATGTCGCCTCTTGTGGCTAAAGGGAGAACTACATGCCATCTAGATAGTCTAAATTGTTAAACATTACTTAATTGTTAATTGGCCAATTGGTTAATTGGCATTAGCATTTAGAAACTAAACTTAAAATTTAATTAATTGTTTTAACACATATAATGTAGTTGCACACGGATAAATGGATATTTATTCATGTATCGTGATCATGTGTGTTTTCTTATGTGTGTTTTTTTTCATGTGATGTGTATATTGTGTGTTTTTACATTGTGTATTGTGTATTGTGTATCCTTCATCAGTGAATGGAGTTTTCTCAGTTGTCATGGACAGTCAAAAAGTTGGCCTATTCATAAAAAAACATTCTTAATGCATATAATCAATATATACAGCATATGTTTTATGTTTATATCAAAGAATTAGGATTACAGTCATTCATTATCTGTTTAGAGATCAGTTATGGTGTGGTGTTTCATAGTAAGAGTTATAGTCAATGACAAATATATTAACACTTTTAAAAAGTTCTCTGCTTACAATGGCAATATGGTATGTTATAGTTTGTTATCAACAACTGATTATTATTATATTCTGATTAACTAATTATTATTTAAACCTAAATTAGGAGATGAAAAATAAAGTGTTACCAGTAAGGAGTATTAATACTGTTGAACTTATGTATATGTATATGTAAAGGCCAATAGGGGACTGAAACATAAACATACAATAGTTTAATGACACATGTGATAGCATTCAAGCCCAAGCTACACTTTTTCTTAATGGGCTTTTATGAAAAAAGAAAGTGGAATGAAATATATCCCGTCAACACATAAACTACATATCTAAGAACAACAAGCAAAAATGGAGTTTTGTGCACAATTAAATGTGATTACATATATCTGGTCTAATGTGAATCTATTTAAAAGCATGGAAAATCCCTGTATAGTGTGAAATTATGAATTATGCCCTGTCTACACATTGTCTAGACTCTAGATGATGCTTATAAAGTGATGACCTAGTCTGTCATACTGTAAAGTTTAAATTAATTTAAATCTATGGTATTCGTTTTCAAACTCAATTGAAACAGCAATTTCCACATCTTTTAGATCTACTACCAGGTCATTAAGAAAAAGTCTAACTGCGTTGTTGTTGGGCAGTTAAATTTTAACCAGGGTCAACTATGCCTGCTACCCCCAGCAGAGGCGGCAGCAGGAGGGGAGAAGAGCAAGAGAGAACAGCGGGAGGGGAGAAGGGTCTATGGTTGGTGATGGACCACACAGTGAAGGCTCATAATGCTGTCTCATTCTGCAACCATAATTTGTGGTTATGCCCTGCCAAATGCCTGAGAGATCGCTCTCGGCATATTTTCACAGCAACTGCTTTCTTTTTTTATGTGTGTGGAAGGTGTTTACTGAGTAACAATTGTTTAGATTCTTGTAGACTCACACATTTGACTGATTTTCAATGGGCAGATGTTACACATTTAAAGTCAATGTTCCAATCAAACATTGAAATCTTTCAAATCCTGTTTTATTGTAACAACAGCATCTACAAAACACACAGGTATCGAACTCAGTCTATGTATTTCTCTCTCTCTTTCTCTTCTATTTTTCCCGATATCTTTTTAATCCAGACAACTTACAACAAACAATCAAGGAAGCAGATCTTAGAGCATATTGCCAAAACATATACTACAAATTAAAAAAAAAAGGTTTTATCAAACCTTTTCAAAACACATCTTCACCTGTCATTAGTATAGTTTAGTAGGAGGTTCAGGACCAGGTTTGTGCACCAACAAGTTCAGTTCATATAAAAACAATTTCACCCTCCCCAGTGTATTACAAGTACATAGGTATACATTTTATAAAATAATGATATCTTATGCCATACAGGATGCTTCTAATTCTCATCTTTAAGTTTATGGGAGCAAAACCTGTTCACTGGTCGCTCAACATTGGAACTATTGAGCATCTTTACCTTTGGGATTTAGGTTCTACAAGTATCAGTTTGACCAAACTCAACCATCATACTACCAAATCACTGCAAAAACAAACAGTAGCAAACAAGAGCTTGAACACTCCACTGTAATTCCTCATTGCAAAAAAAAACTATAACTCAGACCACAAAAATGCATTTTTTTTCTTTATAAAGGACAGTTTAACAAGACAAGAAGTAAAATATACCTATAAACTTTTGTTTGATTTAGTGATCCACCATATTACAAAACAAAAGTCAAACCCACATTCTCCTCTTTGCACCATCAGAGCACAGGTGCAGGTGTTGAGGTGTGATAACTCTGATCAGGGCAAACACGTGCATTGAAACCTGCCAAAATTATATTTTATTACTGCTGCGTCTTCTGATGCGCTCCTTAGCCAAATCACATATCTGGATTCTGAGATAAACCCTTTGTTGGAAAATTATACCTGCAGGCTGTTGTCTCCTAAGATGAACATTTTGAATTCAAATGAAATACATGAGGCATAAATCATGTTAGATAACTTCAAAAAGAATCTGCCTATTGGTATCAAACTTCATTTTACTTTATGAAGATTTAAACTAAAATTTAAAAAAAAGAAGCAGGTTTTATTGGGTTGACATTAATATAATATGCATTTGCAACGTACCATGTAGTGAGCCGAAGGTACAGTATAAATCCTGGATGGGCTAAATCCACCTCTCCGTGCTTAACAGGCAAATGCAGCGGTAACATCCATTTGAAGGGCTCTTCTCCTTCCTCCTTTGCGGCTTCATATCTCACCAGATACTGACAGTTGTGATGTGTGGACAGAGGACTAGAAATAGGACAGTAGGGGGTGTTTATATCACACACATACACACACACACACACACACACCCTCAACGCACACACACAAACACACAAACAAATTCCTAATGGTCGCACTTGTGTACACTCTTAAAACTTTCTCCCTCACATGCACAAACACGTGCGTGCACAGACACACGTGTGCGCGTTCTTTTTTCTTTTCTTTTTTTTTTTAAACAAGATCTCTTCTTTATTCATGTCAAATGTGTCCCCAGACCACCTATCCCCACCTGGGGGCCACAGCCCCACAGGGGACAGCTACAGTAGGACTGCAGTGATTTTCAAAGAGGTAATCCCTCTCTGCAGAAAAATATGCTTTTGGTAAATTCCTGGGTAATGTATGCAGACTACATCATCACCTGTGAGGCTGTGTCAGTCATGGCCAAATCAAAGTAAATTTGTGGCTGATGAGGCAAAGAGTGAGGATTCTCTGCAGTTTGTGAATGGACGAGGGCTGCCAAGGGGCCAAACAGGCTTTGCAGTAGGAAGTGGGTAAGGATCTCAGTAGGGGCCTTACTCCCCTCTGAGACGAGGCCTAGCAAGGATAAAAACGCTCAGTAAGGGGCTTGGGAATGCTGAGCTGGTGTGTGTGTCTGTGCGTGTGTGTGTGTGTGTGTGTGTGTGTGTGTGTGTGTGTGTGTGTGTGTGTGTGTGTGTGTGTGTGTGTGTGTGTAACAGAGGCAGGCAGAGAGAATGTGCGTATACCCATAAGTGTGTATGTATAAGAGAAAGTGTTATCTACAGTTTCATCAACCTTCACATTATGTTAAAGAATTTATTTTGGATTAGGAGTTTGTGTTCATAGCGTAGGGTTTCAATAATCATAATAATCATGATAATAGACGCACATTATGAAATCGCCCTTGGGCAACCAATAGACTGCTGTGTGAGTCGTACAAAGGAGCCGGTTTGGGCTAAGCAGTGCTGGAACTCAGATGGACAGGCATGGGATGCCTCCCTCTGCGTCTCATGTACTGGATTATAGGTCGGGCAAAATCCCAAAGGAGGTGTGAAGCAAGAAACAAACCGAACATTATTACAACGACCCGCATCGTTGCCATGAGAGGATCCATGCTGGCTTCATCCATTGGCAACAAGTGCCACTGGGCACCCTACCCCACGCCTCTCACAGTAGGGGGCGCTACAGAGAGAGACAGGCCGGGGCAAAAGGATAAATGTGCACCAGTGTCGCCTGCCAATCACCTTTGTATGGTGATTGTCGGCGGTCTGAAAAGGTCGTTAAGGGGATTTACATAACATTTTGCACTCCGCCCCGGGTGCATACGGAAATGTTTGATTCCATATTGAGTCATTACTGCATGAAGATTGTTCTTATGTATTTTGACAGCACAGTTTATGGAAACAAAGGTAGTGAGGTGATCTGGTTGGATGGCAGTTAAGAGTATAAAATGCAGACTGCAACATAGGTTTGGCTAACAAGAAAATTAAAGATGGTAAAGTTCATAAGCATCTGCATTTGTTTTTATTTTTTTTTTTCGCATTTGTCAGATTTTCCCAAAAACCTACTTGGGAAATACAAACCTCTCCATCCTTGGTGCCACAGATAATTTTTAACTGTGTTTTAATTCAAATTTGGGCTCTGAAGTGAGCAGTTGTGCTACCACACATATAACATTATTCAAATATTAGTTTTCATTTCCCATGTGACTCTTTCATTCCTCCAATGACAACTGGTCCACTATATGTGGGAGCCATTGGTGTTGATGGGAGATGTCCTGGGACATCCGTGACAGATGGTTGAGACAAGCTCTTCAACGATGCACTTCCTCAGAAAGGACATGGGGGCCTCTGGCGTGGGATGGGGGTGGGGGTGGGGGGGTGGGGGGTGGAGTGTCTTAAGAATGGGAATGGCTGGCTTGCAGGATGTGGGTATACTGGCAAGGTGTAAGGGTACACATAGAACAGGACGTTCATGCCAGAGAACTGGATTTCCTGGTAAAGGATGACTTGGTTGGACGTGAGGTTACCATGGTCTGTTTCTCCAAACCCCCGGCACCCTTTAAATGACCCACATTTAACAGGACATTTTGCCACCTTCTATGAACTCAAAGGAAGTTTTGACTGATGTTATGAGGCTACGTCTGCTGCTCTCTCTTTGATACTTGCTTCAAGCATCCACATAGGCTATGACGAGCCATTGCAAGATG